CGACTGTGGGCCCCGACTCACTTTGACTGAAATAGCTACTGATGGGTTTTTTTTTTACCTTTATACAATAAAATGTAGGCCATAACTATATATATTGTTCCCATTAAAAAACAATTTTCATCAAAATGTTTTTTGTTTTACTCGTTTATCTGTTGGTTCAGGGCCAACTTGTGGCCAGACCCGGGCCCCAACGCCGCATTCGCACACCCAATAGTCGCGACGCCGCCGCTGCGTCTCCTCGAATGATCCACGCAGAGCGAGGCCAGGGAGGCTGAAGAAACGGCGCTTCGAAGCCAAACAAAGCCCCCCCGTGGTATGGGGCGGTGGTGGTGGTCGCTTGCGATGAGGACTTGAGCTGTACGATTCGTCAGGGGTGGTCGCGCCACCTGGAGGTGCCTCGGCGATTGCTCGGCCTCTTGTCCGCTTCCTGGCCAGAGAACAACACGAGGCAAACGTTGAAGAGGTTCGTTTTAGAAGCACCAAGCAGGCGTCCTTCAGATATGAGATATTATCACTCGCCACTGATTGACATTGGCCGTGACCGGGGAATTGAACTCACGTCGTCTCGATTTCTTCTTTCGTATGGCTGATGTTAGATGCAGAGCATCAACACTTATATTTATTTAGACTTAAAACTTTCGTGACTGCGGGAATTCATATTCTTGGTTCTTTCGGTAAAGTCACGTAGATAGAAAACAAAACAAAAAAAACAATCTAAAATAAAAGCAAAAAACCCCACGACGTTTCGATCTCAACACAGCCGGTCTTCTTCAGGTGGAAAGAAAAGAGTGCACACCTCCAGATGTAGCTGCTTACAAGGGCTACACAGTGAGGAGCCCTTGTAAGCAGCTACACTCACTGTGTAGCCCTTGTAAGCAGCTACATCTGGAGGTTTGTCTTCTTTTCCATCCACCTGAAGAAGACCGCTTGTGTTGAGATCGAAACGTCGTGGGTTTTTTGCTTTTAATTTATATTTTTTTTGTTTTCTATCTACGTGACTTTACCGAAAGAACCAAGAATATCAACACTCATACTTTCACATTCAGGTGGTCAGGCCAGGCGTAGTGGAAGGTGGCAGCGGGCTTCACACGGCCCACTCTGTTAAACATTCCTGTCAACTCTTTATCAGTGCCCTACCTTATTACAGACCAATTCAGACCTTACTGGTCATCCCGTGCCCTTATAAATCTCAACGTTCATCCCACAAAATCCCATTACAAGGGAGACACACCATTTTTGTTGTTATTGCCCTATTGAAACGGCTTTAAGCCGTATGGACCTGAAAACTAAATTTCCCTGTACAAGAAAACGGGGTGAACCGTGATGGGTTGACGGGGTTATGGTTAAGTGAGAAATCACGACGAAATGCCATTAACGCGGCGATCGCAACATCGACCGTTGATATGCCGGTCTCCCCGAGCACAACAATAACACATTGAGCTCATCTCCTGAAGGATCCGCAACGGGACAGCAACATCGCCATCTGCAGGCCGAGCAGCGAGGCGGAGAAAGGTTCATCACACTCTGCACTGCCCTGCTGTGGAATAGAACGAAACTACATTTAAAAAAAAATGTTACCGCATCAGGCCCACTGAGCCATCTAGCAATTTTCTTAGAAGCGACCTGGCTACCACAAATGATAGCTCAACGAAGTGGTTTATCATCGTGTTGAAACGTATAGCAGTCAAATACTCTAAACGCACGTTGGTTCTAAATGTGGAGGGAAAATCAAAACCCCAGAGGAGCCGGAGAAAAATCCACGGGAGAGAGAGAGAGAGACACACGCAAACTCCAAATATACAGCAGCAGGCGTCACGGTCGGGATCGAACCCACGACCTCCTGCAAATCAGGCGAGGGAGTTAACATCTCGCCGCCGTGGTCCCCAATCAAGTCTGTGAACTGGCGAGAGAAAGTAAATGAAGACGGCGTTAGAGCCAATACATCAGACCAACACATGGTGAGACCCGGTCTAATAATCTAAATATACTCTTGACAGCTCCCCGATGCGTTGATGGTTGCATCGCGTGCTGTTCGGCTTGATGTGTTCGACGTTTCGTTCCACGTGCTTCTTCAGCAACTGAACTGAAGCTCGTGCGGCGAAACGTCGGGACAATCAGGCCGCGGTAACAAACCGAAAAGCACTTCGGAGAGCCATCCAGCTCAGCCGCGCGGAACCTACTGCGTTTGCTATCGCTGAACTGTGGATATCACAGCGTATAGATGCGAACCCAGAATGCGTGCACCGCGCGGGTCTGACGGCATATTTTGTTTGTGGAGCAACAAAAACCATCACCAATCTGTACACGTTCGAGTCAACGACTTCGTCGTGTCTGTGGGACCTTTTTTTACCGGTATCAAAAATAAGAATAGGCTTTGCCCTTTCAGTTTCGAAGACACTGCATACATTTTCAGAGCACGTGTCTTTGCATGTTTTGCCACAAGCACGCGTGCTAATGGAGACTCAGTGCCTTGCAAGAAGGTATCCCCGTGTGGCTCTCGAACATCTTCACACCCCGCTGTTTTATTGCCAGAACGGGCAAAACCTATTCTTGGCATCGCCATAGGAGCCCGTCCATAAATGACGTCACGCGATTTTGGACGATTTTTGATCCCCCCCCCCTTCGTCACACGGCGTCACAAAAAGTCAGACCCCCCCCACAAATATGACGTCACAAAGCTCTGCCCCCCCCCAAAAAACATGCTTCAAATCGCCTTAAACTATTGTCATTGTAGTGCGTATTTAATGTGGCACTGCACTCTGGTGTTGTAGGAGAAAACATTTATTAAAAAGTATATTTAATTAAGTAGAACATGTTGTCTATATTTATCTAAAGTTGCGCATTTAAATGTGACGTCTCATTTCTCACCCCCCCCCCTCGTCACACATCGTCACAAATGTCTGACCCCCCCCCCCCAGGTGAGTGACGTCATTTATGGACGGCCCCATAGCGCTCTTGCGACGTCACCACCGTAGGTCGACCAGTAACGAAGCTGCATCGTGCGTGAACACCTTGCGGGAGCCACGCACATGCTGGTACGCACCTGCAGCAGGAGATTTATTTTGATTTGTAATGCATCTAGTGTCAGTGTTCCTGACACTGACAGTAACCCGAATCCAAGCCAGCAATCCCACCAGCCACGAGTACTAGCCCATCTCACTGACAACAACAAAGACAAAGATCCCCCGTGTAGCCTTAACAGACTGCTGGGGCAAGCGCTGTTAGCAGGCACCTATGAAGACCGGCACGGCACACGAGGGGGTGGCTTGGCCAGCATCACTCCCGGGCGCCTTTGTCTCCCCAGCGGCGATGTTTACACACCGCACCAGGTACTCATTTGAGGCCGAGTCGACCTAGGAGACGCCCAGGACGGGTTTAGATAATCGTCACTGGTGTTGACTGTGAGTGGGAATCGAACTCGGGTTTCAAGTTTCATTTATTAGGTATAGCCCTGTGAGCCATGCGGCTCTTGAGCCGGGTGCAACTGCAACAAACAAAATATGAACAGAGAACATCTTAAAGCGACGACGACGTGCAACAGAAACATCCTGGATAAACCAGAAAATCTTCCAGAAAAAAAAAACCACCGTATTACAACGCTGTGTGCAAAAATCCCAGTGTGATGCAAGTCAAACAATAACAACCATAAGACAATTTAGATTCAAGTTATCAGGCCAACTCCGCACTTCCGCAAGAAACATGGCTTAACCATATGTTTTAGAAATCACCAAAATAAAGCTATAAAATACAATGTAGCAACAGTGGTCGGGTTCGTAACGCAGCACAGCGCTAACCGCTACGCTCCCACTCCCCCAGACTGCCACGCGATGTAACAACGACCCATGTGGTTCCTTCACTGCGGCCGATGGCATCGCTCCACTTCTGGCCATGGACGTGGTTTTTGTCCACTCCTTTGGCTGCCAATCCGCCCTCAGTCTCGACCGCCGACCGTCGTCCCTTGCAGTGGCGACCGTGACCTGGGCAAGCCCACTTCGTCTTCTACAGCAGGCAGTGCGATGGCTCTGCAGTCGCGTAACTAGCGTGGGGGCAGGGGGTGCCTTGCCTCTCCCCATCCCTGGTGGCCAAAGCAACGAGTTGAGGCCCCTTTGACGAACCACCGTGAGAAGCAAAGGGGCCGTCCATAAATGACGTCACGCGATTTTGGACGATTTTTTTTATCCCCCCCCCTCGTTACACCCCTAAAATATGACGTCACAAAGCTCTGCCCCCCTCCCCCCCCCCCAAAAATTTCTTAAAATCGCTTTAAACTATTGCCATTGTAGTGCGTATTTAATGTGGCGCTGCACTCTGATGTTGTAGGAGAAAACATTTATTAAAAAGTATATTTAATGAAGTAGAACGTGTTGTCTATATTTATTTTAAGTTGCGCATTTTGATGTGACGTCACATTTATCAACCCCCCCCCCCCCACTCGTCACACATCGTCACAAATGTCTGACCCCCCCCCCTCTAGGTACGTGACGTCATTTCTAACTACGTGATGACTTTACCGAAATAACCAAAGAGGTAACTGCTGCGGAGCTGCAGCGGCTGCATTTTACGAAGACGGAGCGCCCCTCGACAGCGTTAAATGATTGAGACCGTGAGCGCAGCGACGATGCGATGAGGCAAGGGGAGCCGCGATATCGAACAGTCCTAGGTGCGATCGTATGCGGATGTTCTCTGTTCCACGTGTTGCTGCTGCTGCTAGGTTCGTCTACTCTGGCGTAATTCCACCCCGTCGCGCAGGCGTTGAGATCGCGGGACACAAAACCGCGACAACAAATAACACCGCACTGTCGACAATGCGTTGTTGAAATGTCCAAAACTAAAATAAACCGAAGCGTTTCGCGCGTGCGTTGGCAGCGCGGATGGGGACATCAGCTGTGGCTGAAAAGGTCCATGGAATGTTGATCCCAAAAATAAAGCGTGCTGCAGAGCAGGAGGAGGGACTGGAGGGAGGGAGGGATGGAGGGAGGGAGGGAGCAGGGAACGCAGAACGAAGACGCGGCGTGGAGAGTTGCAGGGCTCCGACTCTCGTTCAGTCACCGCACCGTCGTGTTCAGTCGAGCGGGTGGGGGGCGGGTTCCACACCACTCGTGTCAATTATAACTCAATCAAGTTGAGTAAGTCATTCGTTCAGCGTTGATGCTACAGGGGAGTGATTTGGCTATTTGGTTTAAATAGATACATAGGTGCTGTCTGGGTAAAGCGAGTTTGAAACTTTGGAGTAATATTTGGGAAGTGTTTTCGTGTGCGTGTGATGCGAGTTGGAAGTCTCTCGTTACACCACGCATCATGAATGAAGACCAGGCAATGCTCTACAGAGTCGGTAAGCCTCGTCGTGTGCGATGTGTACCCGAGCGAGTGAGTCCTTGTGTGGCAGCGGTGGTGTAGCGGTAAGCGCGCTGCATTACCTACCCGGCGACGCGGGTTCGACTCCCGCCCACGGCCAACACCAGTGACGAATATCTGAACCCGTCTGGGCCTCCCTTAGGTCGACTCAGCCTCAGATGGGTATCTGGTGCGGTGTGTAAATATCGCCACTGGGGAGACTAAGGCGGTCGGGCGTGGTGCTGGCCACCCACCCCCTCGTGTGCCGTGCCGGCCTTCATAGGTGCTCGCGAACAGCACTTGCCCCAACAGTCTGTTAAGGCTATGCGGGGGGTCTTTGACTTTGTAATACTGCATATAGACCATTGAGGCAGTCACAGAGTAACTGCTGTACATTCTATTTGTGCTCTGGAATGGCTCGAGAGTTAAAAATGTTCAATAGTCGAGTAATGAGAAAAATCTGAAAATAAAAATGCTTTTCCATAAAATTACTGTTGATCGGGTTCAGTTCACCAGCCTAAACATTTATTTAAATATCGTGCTCCATATATATGCATACGATTCCCATCAGTTAACCGAGTAAATCGCCTCCCGTGGCGTGTGACGCTAAAGCCGACAGAAAGCGAATCAAGCCAGTTACCGTTAGCTATTATCATCATCATATACATCTCCAATATTTGTCGAGAGAGTTTGACCTATGATTGAGATCGTTTTATGAGTAGGTAACCCCTGTTGCAGTGTGGTCACAACATAACCTCGTCCGATTAGCACGGTTGGGGACGTACGGTGCGAAAGAAGTACTAATACATTTATTAGGTTCCTTATTCTTCATCATTTGGTGACAACGCTGCAACAGGGTTACCTATAATGCAATATGTCAGCAACATTGTATATAGTTTAACACGTGGTAGGCTTTCGCGACCAATATCCACAATAGAGGTTCTTGGGTTAGATCGCGTAAATGTGTGTCGTTAAACCCGCAACCACCCGACACAGCCAATTCGTAAGCTTTGTCACGTGAACAGAACATGGATTCATTAACCAGAACATGGATTCATTCATTCATTTTCATTCATCCATTTTCAGAACATGGATTAATTAAACAGAACATAGATTCATTCATCCATTTTCATTCATCCATGTTCTGTTTATATGCATTCATTAATACCTCCCCCCCCCCCATTACGCGCAAGAAGAGCACGTGGCGTCATCACATCTACCCCCTCTATTTAAGGAACGAAACAGGAGGATTTTTCCGCAGATTTGGCTGTCGCCTGATGAAGCTAGTTGTAATTACTGGCGAAACGTCGTACTCAGATTGTAAATGTTGTGGCTTGGCTGTACTAGTAACGAATTGGCCACGTTCTGTTTACGTGACAAACTTACTAATTGGTTGTGTCGGGTGGTGGCGGGTTTAACGACACATTCAAATATTATATTTAAATATTAAATGTTTTATGTAGTAGTCGTACATTCATGATTATTGAAGGGTTTGTCTATGGATCATTAATATGCCAATTTAAAACCCGTTAATCAGGAAATATAAAACATTTTTAATTATCATCAGGCCCGATGGTGTATAGTGCAGTTTCTGACTCTTATCCATAGCCTGAAACGTCGCACATTACATAATTTTTTCCTGGCTAAGGCTCTCAACGAATGTGTTGAGATTTGTTTTGCTAATGCATCACCCACTGCCAACGCAGTATCACCAAATAATTCAAGGGTCATTGTATGTGTAACTTCTTTTGCACCGTACGTTGTGCAAATCGCAGGCGCCCGAAACGTCGCTTGTTATATATATTTACTTTTAATCGATGAATGCGTCGACTTTTTTTTAGCTTTTGTCAGACACACAACGAGATGGGGGAAAGCGCATTCTGGATTATTTTGTTCGTTGTGCGCAAGACCGACCCAGCCGCCGAACCAGAATAGAATGTTGTCAGCTTCAGGCACTATTTAGAGCTCTTTCTTATATGCAGCCCTCACTGTGGACTATCGCTTTACAACCGAGTCCGCGGAACCCACTGCGTGAAGAAGAGCGGTCATTAAAATAATAATAAAATACACAGAAAACATAAAAAAGAGAGGGGAAGAGAGAGGGAGGAGAGGGAGGGGAGAGAGAGGAGAGAAAATCTTTGGTGAAATTTTTCATTTAAAAAAAGCGGGGGGGGGGGCACATAAAGCAAAGCATTGAACAAAAACCGAAATGATGAACGAAGCAAAGTGCCGACTACACCGAGCATCTTCCTTTCAACTCTGATCGTAAAAAAAGAGCGGTCATGGTACTCCTCTACCTACCGCCTTGATATTCGCGGTTGCGTTGTTGTTGTTGTTTGTGGTGGTGGTGGTAGCGTTCTGAAGTTATTGAAGAAGTTCCACGCGGTGGATTGGACATTCGTGAAGTGACCCTGTACGAATTGAGCACGTGGATCGAACGTAGACACAAGTCGCAGAGAAGCAGTGAGACGAGACACAGAGAGATACACACAGAGAGAGAGGCACAGAGAGAGAGACACAGAGAGAGACACAGAGAGAGACAGAGAGAGACACAGAGAGACAGAGAGAGAGAGACACAGAGAGACAGAGAGAGAGACACACAGAGAGACAGAGAGAGACACAGAGAGAGACACACAGAGAGAGACACAGAGAGACACACAGAGAGACACACAGAGAGGGACACAGAGAGACAGAGAGAGAGACACAGAGAGACAGAGAGAGACACAGAGAGAGACACACAGAGAGAGACACAGAGAGACAGAGAGAGAGACACACAGAGAGAGACACACAGAGAGAGACACAGAGAGACACACAGAGAGACACACAGAGAGACACACAGAGAGGGACACAGAGAGAGAGACACAGAGAGACAGAGAGAGACACACAGAGAGACACACAGAGAGGGACATAGAGAGACACACAGAGAGACAGAGAGAGAGAGAGACATAGACACACAGGGGGCGAAACGAGAGAAGGAGCCGCGGTCGATGTCGACACGAGAATGAGACGCAGCGAGACGAGTTAAGAGATGTAGACAAGATAGACACGGCAGAGATAGAGTGCGTTTATGTATATTAATTATCTTATGTTTAGTAGGATTTGAATATGAGCTGACATTAATTGGGTTTTAGATGTATATTATTTATCTTATGTTTAGTAGGATTTGAATATTATATTAATTGGGTTTATATGTACGTTCAAAATCACAACAAGAATATTTATGTATACTGTACTGGAGGCATCCGATGAGCTACAAAGCTCTTTTTCACAGATGTCCAGTCGGGGCGGGTAAGAACGTTACAATAACAGTACGATAGCATGATAATCACATACCTGTCAATCCCTTAGCAGCGCATACCTTATTGCAGACCATTTCAGACCTTATTGGTCACCCCGTGCCCTTATAAATCTCAACGTTCATCCCACAAAGTCCCATCACAAGGGAGAAACAACAAACAAATATACTTTGTTGCCCGTATTGAAACGGCTGTACACCGTATGGACCTGCAAACTCAATTTCCCTGTCTAAGAATACGGGGTAAACCGAATGGTTTGACAGGTGTGTAATTATGTTATGTTTTAGTAGGATTTGAATATAAGCTGATGTCAATCGGGGTTTATTCGTATAGCAATTATATTCTTTTGAGTAGGATTTTGAATATGAGCTGATATTTATTGCACCACAATTTTTTCATGAAATCTGGCGGAGGGGGGGGCTGGGAGCTTGATCCACTTGGGCGAGAGGTGCCTAAACCTTTTGCTTGCTCTACGTTTGCCTCGCCTCGCCACCACCGCAGCACGCGAGCAGCTCACGCGGCTGGTACCACGGCCCCGCTCCCCCTCCCGTGCCCCCCCCCCATGCCCCCCGTGCCCCCCCCGTGCCCCCCCGTGCCCCCCCCCCCCCCCAGTGCTGCTGTGCGTGGCGCTGGGCGCCTCCGTGGCCTCGCAGGAGGCGTGGGGCGCGGCGCACGGATGCGCCCACGGCAGCTGCTACCCCGTGACGGGAGACCTCCTCGTCGGCAGGGCGGACAAGATCTCCGCTTCCTCCACGTGCGGCCTCGTCGCGCGCCAGCGATACTGCATCGTGAGCCACCTGCAGGCGAGTAGTGGTGGTGCTGGTGGCTGCCGCGGTGGTGATGGACTGATGGTGCAGGTTGATGATCGCGGTGGTGGTGCTGGTGGCTGCTGTGGTTGTGATGGACTGATGGTGCGGGTTGATGATCGCGGTGGTCTTAGAAGTTCTATTCCCGCTCACGATGACGAAGATCTGAACTGGTCACGGGGCCTTTCTTCCCTTGGTCGACTCAGCCTTAAATGAGAATCTGGGTGCGGTGTGTAAACATCAGCACTGGGGAAACAAAGGCGGCCGAACACGGTGCTGATCACCCACTCGTGTGCTGTACCGGGCCTTGATTAGTACTCGCTAACTGTACTTGACTCAACAGTCTGTCAAAGGCTATACGGGGGATCTTTGTCTTTGGTCTTGGTGATGGTGGTCGTCGTTATGATGTTGGGTGGTGATGATGGTGATGGATTGATGATGGTGTCAGTGGTTGTCATCATCATTAGCAGCGTCATCATCATCATCACCACCACCATCATCCGTGGTCAAATTAACAGCTGAAGCAATAGAATTGCAATTGTAGCAGTACAAATAATTAGTCATGGGCAGTGGCATTCATCATCAACAGCTGCAGCTACGCATTACAATGAAACAACAGCAATTACATAATTGTTCAGCAGTAGCAGCAATCATTAATCATTCAATCATCATCATCACTCACAGGAGCAGTGCAATCATAATCGACGGAGGCCGATTCATAACCATTAGCGCCGTAATTTGCATGCACAGCCCTTGTGTTAATCCACTGCTGGATGGAAGCCTTCCCACGCGATACGAATCACCATGCTTCACACCACGCTGATCAGGGCATGTTGACGAAGGCAGGGGACCGTAGACGTTGGAGGACAGTGCAATACAACAATTGTTTTTTCTACACTGCCTCTCCTGACACCATGTCCCCGACACAGCCTATAACATCCCCCTTTCTCGCATTGGTGGCGTTGCCTATCAAAGCACGTGTCCAGGCCAGTGCCGGATTATCCTAGTAGCAACAGCAGCATATGCTACGGGCCCTGCACTTTTTCTAACAGAGGTCCTCCGTGGGTCACGCTTTGTGAAATGTTTAGTTTCGTACCCATCGTCAACCGATACGATGGAATATATAAGTGTCCGTGACAGCGACGGTTGAGTTGTTCTTTTTAGCGGAGTGGTCATCATAATCTGCCGAGTCATCACAAGAGCGATTCGGCGGGCTTCGTAACAATGTGCGCATTGACAACGAAGCCAAGCGAGAGGAGCGCCGGCCAAGACATTTTCATTCGGATTCCTTCTTCCTTTTCCATAAACACATCTGGCCATTAAGCGATCTTGCCAAGCCGTTTTTGCCACATTATTCAGATCTGTGCTCCTCTTCTCCGCCCAGACTCATGAAGCACCATCTCTCCACACTGCCAAATTACGACGATCCATCGGACAGGTTTAATTGAGAGATTTGCAAGTTAATTAAACGGCTTATTACCAGACCATTTTTCAGTCCACCACTTGAAAATTATTAAAGCCTCCGCGCCATGCCGTGTCAGTTATGGCGGTATGTGCGACCCATACGTCATCCCGCGCCACATTGGTTAGTGAAGGGGGTAGCCAGAGATTGGTTCCGATATCGATCACCCCTGATAGTGTCAACTATGCAGCAACTGTGGGATCTTAGAGAAGGAACAAGGTGATGATGGCAAGATGTGTTACATGAACGCAACTATTGACCCAACTACCAGAGTTTGATTCCCAGCCACAACCTCGCATTCACCAACCAACGATACATAGTGGCTGGAATTACTGAGGCTTTTATGGATAAATAAGGGGCATTGTTATTATTACAATTAGATGACTGGCCGGTGTTCAAGAGTAGGCCAAATACCTCTTTGGAGGCCCTTCATAGCATCTCTGTTAGTGGAGACCCTTGACTGCTGATGAGCTCAAGTAGAGCGAAATCAGTCCAGGCTTTTTTAGATATTCCAGCCGAGAGGTCAATACGTTTGATAGACAATTTTATTTTTTAATGTCACGGCGATTCTTGCAATCGTCTGCGTGATTAACGGACCTGGTCGGCGAAGCAGGCGTGGCGGGTTTGTTGCGATGTGTTTCGCGCGGCAGTGAAACCCGCACGTGCCCTGCCACTCCGTGCGCTGAAACAGGAGCAGGAGAAGTGCTTCCACTGCGACTCGCGGCGGCCGTACCAACCGGGGCGCAACCCCAACAGCCACCGCATCGAAAACGTCGTGACGTCCTTCGCGCCCAGCCGACGCATGACCTGGTGGCAGGCGGAAAACGGTCGGTGGGCGTGCGGACGGAGCGCAAACCCCCTCAACACCACCATGCGCGCTCGTCGGATTTGAGTTTGACCCCGAGTCACTCACAACCACCCACCCACTCACCTGCCGGCCGGCCCCTGTTGCTGTCCTTTTTGGTTTAACACGACGCAGGCTTTCGTGACTAATATCATCCATAATAGAGGGGTTTTTTTGGGGTTAGATCGCGTAAATATATTAAATTGTCGTTAAACCCACCAACCACCCGACACAGCCAAAAAAAAACCTTGATAATTGGCTGTGTCGGGCGGTGGTGGGTTTACCGACTCTTTTTTTATATTTACGCGATCTAACCCCAAAAAAAACTGTGTTATGAATATATTTTGCATGTTGGCATTTTAAAGTGTGCCGTAGCTCCCACGCACACTCCCCCCCCTCAGGTCACTTGCGCTGGTCCACGTGGCGTGGCAGCGGTGACAGAGCTCTCGTCTGATAAAGCGCGCCACCCCGTCATTGAAGCGACTCCTTCGACCTGACCCACCCCTTCTTGTTGGTTTCGACTTAGGCCTTAAGAAACGCGGCTCTTTTTTCACGAGGGATATTTCAGGGCGATGGCCCTCATGAGAAGGGGATGCGCGCTGAATAGTTGAACGTTGCATGCTGAACTCTAGAGTGCGGAATGATGATGTTATGGCTCGCAAGTAAGACCTTTGGCAAGCGGCAGTGTAGTCGACGATTGATTCTGCGTGATTAATCTCCCATCGCAGCATTGACGATGTGCAACGTATAGGCTTATTGTAAGGCTCATGAAAAGATGAATCGTGGCAAATGGTTGAAAACCACAAACTTCATATTTAACTGTGATGATGATGATGAGTAATGTATTGCTTTATCTGTATAGTGGTTTGACAAAGTCCCGACACAAAAGCACGTGACTTTATCTCCTGTTCTCGATTCTGCCGTCTTGGTGTACAGGCGTTGAGAAGGTCACCATACAGCTGGACCTGGAGGCAGAGTTTCACTTCACTCATCTCATCATGACCTTCAAGGTGAGGGGGGGGGGAGGGGGCGCACGACTTCACACGGGTCCAGTGCACTCGCAATCTGCAGAGGCTGTGCCACCAACAGCCTGTGCCCCCAGGCCCTCAACTCGAGCTGCTGTCGGATCGTGGGGGCCGGTAGAGGTGTTGTGTTGGGTTGCGACGGTGACGGCGAATTGCCGCCAAGGAGACCTGGGCGGTGAGGGGGGCGGGGGGGGCCCAAAGAGACATTGGAGACATTGGCGTTGCAGGGCCCACCCCAGCACGAGCCTAGTATCGGCCCCGGCACCGTTCGGGTCAGGCGCAGTTGAACACCTAACCGAGGGGCAACTGGCCCTCGGAGAGGAGCTCGATGCATGGCGTTAAGAGGTCAAGTTTCCTCCTGATGGGCGCTGGCCAGGTGGCTCAGGGGTCAGAGCCCCGAGCTGCCACTGCTGAGGTCCTGGGTGTGAATGCAGGCAGCTGGACACAAGATAAACGGATTCTCGAGTGTGGTGAGTTGATTGCCGCAGCCACGGTCACAGACGGTTGCACAAGAGACCGTCAAATTGCACTCGTTTTTGTTCACTGCATTTAATTTGGATGTCTTTTGACTTATTTAGTTATAAACATGCAATGCGTACTCTTTGTGCAGGGCACGTCGGTGCGGTTGCTCCGAGTGTGGACAAAGAAGCCGATTGAAGTCATCTCCCATTCTCTGACACAGAGTGATGCACTGCTAGCTGCAGAATTCTGGATGTTCATTTCTGCATGCCATGACAAGATGCCATCAGCACATTTAGAATGTAATCAGAAAACAAAGACATTAATGAATACAATAATAGTGTTAGTAATCAATTTCAAGGACAGTGGATTAATTATCAGAGTTGTCTTTTTGTTTGCAAACATGATCCCTTGTATAAAGGTGCCAGTTTTGTTGCCAGTTAAAAGGGTAAAAAAAACCTATTACTATATCTTGCTACTGGCAAAGGAGGTCTCATAAAATAATAGTGTTGTTAACAAGTTCAGTAACCAAGCGTTCGTCATTAACATTGTCGTAATAATTATTGCCGATTCAAATGGTTCCTTGCTTCGAAAAGAAATAACGAATCCCAATGATTTCTCTCTCTGTCTGTCTCTCGTTCATGGTTAAAATCAACAGCGACTGAGTTGCACGGAGATTTTTGATTTCCCACTGAATATTTGCCAGGTCGCGGGTAGACTGGAGTAGGTGGCACGTGACCAGTAATAAGTCGCAGCCATAGCGAGAGGAATACTGGATGTGGTTTACTGTGTGCGAACATATTTTCTGGCTGCCACCTCCTGAGGTAGAAAAAAATCCAGGCGATTTCATGTAACAAAAGAATATTTCACGATACGGGAAGAGCGGGGATACGAAATGTATATGCATCGTCTTGGTGGTGTATTATTACCAAACTGACAAAAACCCACACCTTTTGTATTCCAGTAAGAATGCTCGATTTTTCCAGGACAGCTTCCTCATTTTTCCACAACTAACAAAGGATGGACTTTTAATGCTCCCGGGAATATTTTCCGACTTTGCTCTAATAGAAGACCACCTTGGGAAAATCAGGACAGGTGGAAATCCTACTCAGTCACTGACCCGGACAGAGACCCAGCTGACATTAATCTCCGACCGCACATGCATGTGTGCGTGTGTGCTCGTGTAGAGCAATGGTTACGGCGCTGCGCATCGAACCCGGCGACCTGAGTTCGGTTCCTGCTCACGGCCAAGACCAATGACGATTATCTGAACTGCTCCTGGGCCTCCCCCTCGTTAAACTCAGCCGCAAATGTATTTCACGTGTGATGTGTAAACATCGCCACTGGGGAGAAAAAGGCGGCCGGGCGTGGTGATTGCCACCCACCCCATCTTGTGCCGTGCCGACCTCCGTAGGTGCTGCTCGCTAGCAACACTCGCCCCAACAGCCTGTTGAAGGCTACACGGGGGATCTCCGTGTCTTTGTGCTCGTGTTCCCGCGCAGACGTTCAGGCCGGCCGCCATGCTGGTGGAGCGCTCGTCGAACTTCGGCCGTTCGTGGAAGCCGTACCGCTACTTTGCGTACGACTGCGACGCGGCGTTCCCGGGCATCGCGACGCGAACCCTGCAGCGCGTGGACGACGTGGTGTGCGAGTCGCGCTACTCCGACATCGAGCCGTCCACCGAGGGCGAGGTCTGTACCGACCCCCCCACCCCCTCCCACCGCACATTAATTTGTCAGTTTTTTTTTTATTTTGCTTAAGCCTCTCCCGTTCCGACGACGTACGTGCACGTCATCCGTTTCTCTTCGAATTCCGTTCCGATGATGTACACGTACCGGATTAAAAAAAAAATATATATAACTTTATCAGTACCGAAGCTCCCACAAGGCCATGCGGGAGGGCATCTGGCACAGTTTGGCGCCAGCTATGGTAGAGTACGCTCGTGTCGCTACAATTCTCTGCGGTGAGTACAATGTCTTTAAAAATAACGGCGCTACGCCGCTCTAAATAAAATTAACGCTGAACCGCTTGCGCGTTCCAAGATTCAGCGGTGAACAGGGGACACCCCGGCCCTGCAACTTACAGTAAGTCTGGAGCAGTCGTCACGTGACTACTGAGTAGCCGCAGCCATAGCGAGATGTATACTTGATGTGGTGTTCCGGGTGTGTGAAGTACTTCTTGGACAGACGCGGCTGAAACCAAGGTCTCTCTCTGCATCGGGGGTGTTGTGGGGGAAGTTGCCACTCAAACTTTTGGGCGGGTGGTAAAAACAATATCATATCCTGTGCCACCTCCATATTAATAATAATGTTTAGTTTTATAAAGCGTCTCACATTCGCTGAGGAACCACAAACAAGCCAGAAGCCTAGTGACAACAATTTCCCATGCTCTGGAGTCCTTCATATATTCAGATGCTTCCAGCCAATTAATGAGTGTTTTACATATGTGGGAGAAAAAAACCGGAGCACCCAGCGAAAACCCTCTCATGCGAGGAAGCAACACTCGATCCAATACGGAAGGGAGACATGATATTAGTCCGTACTTTTTCATACCGCCTTCACCTGGTCAGTAGGGGTACAGCACCTTCTTGAAGCCCACAGGAAGGGGGTTTCTAAACATTTGTGTGACCCATCAACCCGACTCGCTGTCTCCACGGTGCTGGGTTACAGGCGTGCGTAGCCATCACCCCCTGACCCATTTATTACCTGCGCCGGGTGACCTCTTGGCTCCTTGACGGTTTCTTGCCCCGACCGATGTCTAAAACATTTTCTCCGTGCCTAACATCCACAAAGCAGCGTGCATCATCATAGCACGGTGCACCGCAACCATTGCCCACATCACCGCACAGCGCCTCGCAGCTCGGTGAGAGGGGGAACCAGAAGCCGTTTGCGGTCGTCCAGCGCTGCCACAGCCACTCAAATAATGGCCGCGTCTTGATTAATTCTCGTTGACTTTTTTTGTCTTGTCCAAATAAACCGTTCGCGTAATTGCGCTGTCAAAACCCGGACGCTCTCGTTCTATTCCCCACTGTGCGCTTGGCTTTAACGGGAGCTCTAAGCCTCAGGAACTGAAACCTGCCCTTTCGTCCTCCGCCCGCGAGAATGTTGCGCGTTTTTGCCCCGTAATTTGCATCGGGTAATGATGCTTTATTGTGTTTCCGCAAGAGCTTATCGCGTCTAAATATGTTCGCATTTATTTGCAGGACTTTTTGGTTGAGTCTGAACGCGCGAGTGTTACGTTACTGCCCCTCGTTCATTCCGGGCTGTTGTTTTTCTTTATTGGTCCTTGAAACCATTCAACCCGAGCGTTGGCCACGGTCTGTTGGCCATGGATCGTGGTTGTGTGTCTGCGCACGCGTGTATTAATTAGTGCCCTGTATTCGCTCGGCGTTCGTGTCCCGATTAGATACCTCGATCGTGGCTGGGGGGGTGGGGGGGGCTCTGAGCGTGTGTGCATGTGACCCAGCCAAGCGTGGGTTCGATTTGCTCGCAAGCCTTCGTCGTGATGTTTCGACCGTCGTGTTTTTTTTTACTTCCGCAGCATCTCGCTCGTCGTCGTCGTCATCTGCAGCGGCATCAGTGGGATTGCCGTCATCATTGCAGGACTTTTTCAGAAAAAGAGTATTTTTTGGGTTAGCTGATTATATATTTATATTAAGCTTAAGCAGGTAACCTTGCACCTCATTGCAGAAATGTTATTCATTGTAGAGGTCTTGATTCAATTCAAGAATAGAATTTTTTTTTGTCTCGTTTATAAAATGCCGTCTGAGCATCAACGGAACATTTCTATATAATTTGCATTCATTGTAAACACTCTGTTCATACACGCACGACTCAGTGCGCGTAACATGAGCGTGACAATCAAATACCGTCGCTGAATCCATGCACAGATGCGCAATTGTTAGTGCGTAGCAATTGTCATCCTCACCACCATCGTCAGTGATGCTGACGATCACTATGCCAACCTGCGGCAGCTTCGAGCTTTCCCTCCGACGAATGAGCCTCGGATGCCGACTACGGCAGCTGCCACGGTGCCGGTGCATTTATTCTATTCCATTTCGCAATTATAAAGCGCCCTTTCCAGGGCGCTTTCAGATGCAATCCGACGGCGTTCAGTGAGGAAGGTTATGGAATGGATGCAGGGACAGGGGCTGGGAATGGAGCTGATGTTGCAGGGGTAGATAAGGCAGAATAAGGTGGAGTGTGATGGTGAGCGAGGCACTCTGATGGGCGCAGCGTGGATGAGAGGCAGTCCGGTATGGGGGACATGCGTGAAGTTGTATTGCCATGAGTTACCTGTAATGCATGGCAATTGTAAACATCATCACCATCACTACCACAAAGTGAGGCTAACGATCACTACGATCCTGCGGAAGCCTCGGGCGTTCCTTTCAGTTGCGTCTCCTTACCTGCTCACGCCGGCGCTCGTGACGCCTGCAGCCCCCCTCGCACGACGGGCTCGAGAGTGGAAACACGTGTCGAGTCACGAGGGTCGTGGCTGTTGTGGGAGGGGGGGGGGGGGTGATTGACGACCGCACACGGGAGCCGTCGCTCTGGGAGCCATCGCCGCTCCACGCCAACCCCTTACCGTGTGGAAATCCGCGTGAAGGCAGCCGTTGTTTGCGCCGATCCGCCAGACCTGGCGATCGCCGGCGTGAGTGGAACCGATCCGGCAAATGACGCGGCAGGGGCACGCCGCCTCCACGTCCTGGCCCATCCCGTCCGATCCACCGTGGCTTCCGACGGGTTTACACATTTTTTGTTAAATTAAATAATATCTGTCTGGAAAGAGATCCGTGTTCTGTTATGGCTACACATGTGATGTCGTGTTCTTGTGCTCAATACATTGTTATTTTCTTTAAATTTGTTCTTTCAAATTCCCCTCTGTTTGGTCATTTGTACAGCTCGTTTTTAGTCAGTGGTTTCTTATATCAGTGGCGGACGCGAGCCGAGTTTGCTTCTTTTTCTGCTGATAATGGGGATCTTATATGTTTTGACTTGTTTATTAGGACACAAATATGAAATTTCAGGCCGACTGTACCCTGTGGGTAAAATCATTCAACCTCTGGGCCATAATTTTGTCTGCAATCCCTTCCTTACTGAGTGATTCTCTGGATATTATCATCTTCTCAAATACACCGTTCCGGTGCCTCAAGATGTACTGCATGGGAGGCGTGGTATGATCGACGATGACGACGATGATTATGATGGATTTATTTTTGGGTCCAAATTGTAAAACTTAATTTTCACATCTGTATGTTTATTATCACAATCTCAGCTATATTTGTGCCACATTCTAACCACATAGCCCTTGAGGAAGATGATTCAGATTTACTCGGTCAGTCGTAATTGTCATTGTGTATTGTCAGATATAGTAAATTGTACAATGCCACTTGCATGCATGGGTTTATGTTAAGCAAGTGAACAGAAAGAGAGAGACAGAGAGCACAACGTCAACTATAAACAAGTAGCTTGGAAACATATTACAGGGATGGATTCTTCAGAAAAAATACCATATTCTCCGGATTGTAATATCTAAGTTGTAAAGAAAGAGTGGTGGGTGTGTCTTACAATTCAGTAGCTACACATGCGTGTATGTGCGTGTGTGTATGTGCGGGCGTTCGACACTTCACGTGGCCTCAAGGTGCACATGGCCTGGCACAAGCGGCGTGGTGACGTCACCGCCACTTAGTGGCGAATGGTGGTTGTATGTATGGCCTCAAGTGGGGAGCGGTAGTGTAGCGGTTAGCGCGCTGCGCTACGAACCTGGCGACCCGGGTTTGATTCGCGCTCACGGCCAACACCAGTGACGATTATCTGAACCGGTCCTGGGCCTCCCCTAGGTCGACTCAGCCTCAAATGAGTACCTGGTGCGGTAGATAAAAACATTGCCACTGGGGAGACAAAGGCGGTCGGGCGTGGTGCTGGCCACCCACCACTTCGTGTACCGTTCTGGCCTTCATAGGTGCTCGCTAACAGCACTTGCCCCTACAGTCTGTTAAGGCTATACGGGGGATCTTTATCTTTGTATGTATGGCCTCAAGGCGCACATGGCCTGGCACAAGCGTCGTGGTGACGTCACCGCCACTTAGTGGCGAATGGCGGTTGTTTTTGTTGTGTATGTATGTGTATGTGCGTGTGCCTTTGTGTGCGTGTGACCAGATTCGTATAACCTTGCCGACACCGGGCTTAAGATTGGGGTGCATTTATTTTCCAGAGCATTCTATTATATTACGGAGAATTCGATAATTATTTTAAGTGGAATTTAAAAAAAGAGAGAACATGACGCTCAGACGGGAGCTGGCTTAGGACACGCGACTATGGATTTCATAGATGAGTGCCAGGAGCGGATGTCTCCTTACCACTTTTTAATTCAACAAACACAGACCTTTTTCCCTACTGGAAACTCACCCATTATGTTTGTGGCTTATTACCAAAGGACGCTGCGGTGCACAGGCAAGCCAACGGCGCGCGCCTGTTTGTCCTCTCGTATTGTGGAACGACGAGTCCCTGGCTCGCCCATCGCTGATTCCTGCTCCACGGACCGTTGGTCCGCTCAAGAATGGGTCTCTTGGACCACACTGGGGTACCCTGATTGACAAGCGCCTTCTCTCTCTCACTCTCTGTGATATATTCCTGTCCGCAGGTCATCTTTAAAGTCCTGGACCCTGCCATAAAGATCACCGATCCCTACAGCCACACGATACAAGGTGAATGTGAACATTGGTTCGTTGAAGTTTAATTTTTTTGCTGTCATGTAATCGATTTTTTTTTGCGAGATAAACACTGATATTTCTGGCAAATGCCAATAGCTGGTAAATTATGGTAAATACCTACATTATAAGACATTTACATTATCCATTTGTGAGTAAGTCTGTCAGTAACGGCAATTATATTGGTGATTTTATTCGTACACATCTGATATTCGTATACATTATGATTATGACTGAAAGGAACCATGAGTCTATGGTATTGACGAAGAACTATATACAACAAATCGACCTTCAACCTTGGTCAAGAAACTGTCTGAAAATTTTCACCGTGTTATGGTTATGGCTTTTTTTTTTTAAACTCACTTCTCATTCTTCTGAGTTAATTTTTTGGGCATTGAGAATTGGAAATAGTTAAAAAAGAAATAAAACATGGGTAATGCGTGGGAGAAAATTTGAGTGGGTCTTTGCCGAGTGGCAGGCCAGGGGGGGAGGGAGGGAGGAGGGGGGGGGGACTGACTGAAATTCCACAGGAGTTTTCCTGTACAGCGTAAAAGAGAACGTATGACGAATCGAGAACAGGCGCCATCGCCTTAATAAGAGCGACAACAAGACGGTGCCTCCCGCCTACTTATTATGTGGAGTCGGGTGCGGTGCCCCGCACGCTCGCAGACGTTCTGGCGCGACAGCGAACCGCCCTCGTGGTGAGGTTTTCAGTACCGTGCGTCGTGGGACGCTCAGACAGCGAGCAGACAAAGGACCCCGGCACGGCACACGAGGAGTTGGGTGGCCGGAAACCACGCCCGACCGCCTTTGTCTCCCCAGTGGCGATGTTAACACACTGCACCGGGTACTGATTTGAGGCTGAGTCGACCTAGGGGAGGCCCGGTTCAGATATTCGTCACCGGTGTTGGCCGTGAGCGGGAATCGAACTCGGGGCCGCCGGGTTCGGAGCGCGGCGCGCTAGCCGCTACCGTACTCCCGCTCCCCACCCACGAGCAGACACGCGCGTACTCACACACTCGCTCACATGCTTTAGCGATTTCCTCCCCCGCAATGTGCTGAGTGCGACGGACCCAGCCTGGGAGTCTCTTCTATAAAACAACAGGGGTCAGTCGGAGGCGGGCAGGGGCTCCGGCGTAGAGCCTATTTTGGCTGCCGCCAAATTGACACCGCGAGGCAGGCACGCATCGCCTTTCACGCCTAGAATACACACTTGCGCACGTGTGCGCAAGTGTCACGGGAAGGGGGGTGGGGGGGGCAGCATATGTGTAACGTCCTGCCAGTGACGGATTGAGAAATGACTAAATGAGAATAACGATTGATTGCGTCCGTTGTGGGTTAGAGGAGGGTAGGGGGGGCTGCTGCTGCTGCTGCTGTGACGTCTCGAGTCTGTGCGCTGTCACTGCCCCCCGACTCTCATTCCTCGTCGACGTTTTCATTACGAGCGGCTGGGCAAGGTTGTACCGGGCCGCTGGGCAAACCCCCCCTCCCCCCCCCCCAGGCATTTTGTCCCACGAGCTGGCTGATTGAAGTTGAGATTTTTGAGTTTGGGTCGAGAATGCAGTGGCTACCAACTCCAGGGACAGATTTACTGGGAGAATGCCTGGTTTGCCCCGTGGCCCAATGCAACCCTGTTGCTTGGACGATACTGGAATTCATGATTTCCTTTAGAAGGAATTTAGAAGGCTTGCCCACTGGCCTAATTACTTGCAGCTCACATGACCGCATCCAATACCCCATTGGAAATATTATTACTATAAACACGCGCCTTGATTACGTTATTCCCATAATTAAGCTCTTCACCAATTCTAAAAAGAAAAATAACGTCCCATTAGTTACCCAGGGAATGCCTGATTTGAGTCTCAAGATACTTTTTTCAGAGAGGAACCTGCACGGACTATTTCTCCTCTTCTAGGAATACGTGTTTGGTTTGTGGTTGGGAGCCAAAGAACGTAGAAGCCCACACACACGAGGAAGTAACGGATCGATTCAATAATCCATCACTGTCCTGCTATCTACCGGCCACCAACACATTCTAAGCCTACAACCCCTGGTATTTGAAGGTATATTCTTGGTCGCCCATCCAAGTATTAACCAGGCTCAAATCTGATTAGCTTACGACATTGGGTGCATTCAGGGCGAATGGGTTCTTTGCATGTGTTTCTAATCATTATCGAACACCAATCATTGCCTATGAGCGGGAGTTAACCCGACATTGCGCTGAATGGCGATACCAATCCACGCGCTCCATTTTTCGCTGTCCGTTCAACTCGCGACAGGGGTGGTAGCCAAGACCTCTGCACTGTGGTTAAGCGACACGCAGATTGCCCTGACGTACTTGATTGCATCCACGGTGTATGCGGGCAGAGCTTTAATTCAATAATTCAAAACGTAGTGCAGTCGGTTACGAAAGTGAGCAAGTCGTGCATTTTTATACCTAAAACAGCGGCCCCCGAGACAATGTGTTGGGCACAATGCCACAAATTGCAGTTAAGTCTTCACTGCCTCCATCGAGAGCGAGAGAGATAACCGGCGATCGCAAAACTTGATGTTGCTGCTCGCCATATGTATGTCAGGGTCTCTGGCCGATAAGTCCACCCAAACCAGGTTGGCCAAAAAATAATTGTTCTTAAAAAAAAAAACTCGCAGTTGTCGAATGCGGGCCTAGAGGCCCAAAACGCCAAAGTGGTGAGCAGCAAACGGCGCTACTGAAGGTTGCAATAGGCACGGAGTTAAATACGGCCTTCGAATTGCGCCAGAGTTTAGGTACTTGAGCACAGACAAGTTTGGAGGGAGTTCTACCGTCGAGCAGTGCGAGGCAAGAGGTGGAATGAGGGGTGCTCCTGTGGTGTGGTGGTCGGTGTGGTGGTCGGCCGCAGTGCGGATCAGATGCGACGGTGATTCCTCGGCACGTGGTGGAGGAATTGAGGAGATGTGGTTACCGGGAAAATGTGAACTCCACTTTAATGAGCTCTGTGTGCTTCAGCAAGGGCTCGCCTGAAGTAATAACGCACTCTCCAATGTTATGTTTAAATGCTATTATTGCTATTCATCATGCCCTGAGTGTGTGTGCCAAGTGCGAGAATATGTTGTGAATTAGCTCCAATTTCTTATTGTTAATAGCCGAGTCCTGATGCTGCTCAGCACATACGCCAAGGGTGCAATTACGGGATGCAGGCATGCAGTTTTACGCGTTTTGCTGACAGTCAGGCTTGCCTCTCCGACGTCTTGCAGGCAACGCAGCGCCAGCTATTGCTGTGTATCTATGGATATTAAACTTCTTTCGCACCGCATGCAGCCAACCGTGCTAATCGGAGGTGCATGCGTACATGTGTGTACGTACAGACAGGGCCTCTCAGAGGTTCTGAGATGCCCGGAGCAGAATATGCCACATAAGGTCCTCTTATTCCACCATCCACAGGCCCATTGTGGGGCTCTCTTTTGTGTGGGGCCCAGGCAAAATTCGCCCTCTGGACGGCCCTGCATGCATATTCATGTATCTGCATTTGCAAATGTGTGTGTGTGCCTGTATAAGGTGTAGGCACGTCTCTACGTACGTGTGTGCAGTTGGCTGTGTGGCCCAGTCGTTAGTCAACGAGTATCCTTTATTTTAGCAGATGAGAGCCCATGGAGACACATCTGTTTTACAATTCAAGCATGGGGTAAACATAGCAAGGCTAAATGTGGAATGGGGTGTACAGCAGTAGCACAATGGTAAGTGCACTGTGATGTGAAACTGGTCAGCTGAGTTTGATTCCCGGCCATGGTTGACCTCGGGGGCGAGTGATGTCTAAACAAGTCCTGCGCTTCCCTTTGGCCAACCTGCACTGAGGAGCTTGGTGAAGTATGGTAAAAAAAAATCCCCGAGGACTGAGAAGTTAATTTTCTTTTTACTTCTTTTGGCTACATTGGAAAATATGAGAGCTACATTTAAAAATCTTAAAATTAAACAACAATTCGTATTGGATGCCGTGATACACTCACTCATCTTGCACTGACTAACTGACACATCATACGCTGACTCACTCACACATCATACACTGACTCACTCACACATCATACACTGACTCACTCACACGTCATACACTAACTCACTCATCATACGCTGACTCACTCACACATCATACACTCACACAACCACTGACCCATTCACTCATCATACACTGATTCACTCATCATACACTCACTCATAATACGCTGACTCACTCACACATCATACACTCACTCACACTACCACTGACTCACACATCATACACTGACTCACTCATCATACGCTGACTCACACATCATAGATTCACTCACACCTACCACTGACTCACTCACACATCATACACTGACTCACTCACACATCATACACTGACTCACTCACACATCATACACTGACTCACTCACACATCATACACTCACTCACACATCATACACTCACTCACGCTGCTGCTGACTCACTCACACATCATACACTGGGAGTGTCATGCTGCCAGCTATGGCTGCAAGTTTGGTCGTACATGTTATGTATATCGTTAATTTTTTTGAATAAAGGTGTCAGTTTTTGTGCCAGTTAAAAGGGTAAAACCTATTTCTATATCGTTTATTGTTAAATTTGAATCAATGTTCCTATGATTACTGTTGTTACATTGTATTTTATAGCTTTATTTTGGTGATTTCGAAAACATATGGTTAAGCCATGTTTCTTGCGGAAGTGCGGAGTTGATAACTTGAATCTAAATTATCTTATGGTTGTTATTGTTTGGCTTGCATCACACTGGGATTTTTGCACACAGCGTTGTAATACGGTGGTTTTTTTTTCTGGAAGATTTTCTGGTTTATCCAGGATGTTTCTGTTGCACGTCGTCGTCGCTTCAAGATGTTTCTCTGTTCATATTTTGTTTGTTGCGGTTGCACCCGGCTCAAGAGCCGCATGGCTCACAGGGCTTTGCCTAATAAATGAAACTTGAAAATGATGAACATCTCAAGAAGAGGAAAAGTGTGGGAGAGTGTAGCCCCCCCCCCCCTCCTAGTGTGGACAGGAGGTCACCTGAAGGGACCGCAAAATGAGTACATAGTATGCTTTTTACGTACGTAGCCAACCGTGCTATGTATGTATGCAGATCTTCTTTTGCACCTAACGTAGCCAACCGTGCTAATCGAAGTTGTGGCGGGGGTAAAGACAGAAAACTAAACACAAAAATCAGTTCCAAAGCAAAGAGTTTTCAGTCTAGATGTAAGAGTGCACAGCTTCTGGTGGCTTCGTAATATCGGAAGGAAGCGCGTTCCAGACGGCCGCAGAAGCGCATCGGAGAGCGCGCCGCGACGCGTCGACCGTTTTTAGTTCGATGGTTTGGCCAAATGCCACTGCTGCTGCAAGGATGATGGCTGGAGTTCGTGCGAGCCACTCGGCGTGACTTCTGAATGGGATCTTCATGACGACACGACACCGCCTGTGGGTCCGGCACTGTGGACAGGCGAGGGTTGGTGAATGGCGCGCATTGTTTCGTGAAACTCCTTTCCCGTGGACGTCGAGGGCCTTGGGGTGCCACACCCTGGCTCGTCAGGGTTACGAGGCAGTATGGCGAGTGGGCCAATCGCCATCCGTTTCCATCTGTAACGGGGATAGAGCGTTGCCCCCTCACGCGCGTGGGTTTTCTCCAGGTGCTGCGGCGGTTTCCTCCCACCGTGTACAATAAACACTCATCATTAATCGGCTGAAAACATCTTTGGAACAAAAAAAGCCCAATGCAGGACCCTCATGAAAAAGCGTCCTGCAACTCAGCATGGCTTTGTTGGATAAATAAGTAGAACAAGTAAATGACAGGTGGATGAACAACATTTGTTAAACTCAGTAAACAACAACAACAAACACCACCAACGACAGCAGCAGCAGCACCGTGAACCGCCGCGGCATAACGTTTTGTCGCGCGTCCGTCCACCACCACCACCCTCCCCAGACCTGCTGAAGATCACGAACCTGCGCATCAACCTGACGCGGCTGCACACGCTGGGCGACAACCTGCTGGACTCGCGCTCCGAGATCAAGCAGAAGTACTACTACTCGCTCTACGAGCTGGTGGTGCGCGGATCCTGCTTCTGCTACGGCCACGCCAGCGAGTGCGCGCCCATCGCGCCCACGCAGCGCGACCACGACGGCATGGTACGGCAACGCGTGGCTGTTCCCGCAAACACGTACGCGCCATCTCAGCACCGCAGGCTTTCGCGACCGATGATATGAATGTGTCATTAAACCCGCCGCCACCCGACGCAGCCAATTAGTCAAGTTTGTCACGTTAACAGAGCATGCCCATTCGTTACTGGTACAGCAACACCGGCTGATGATGCTCGTTGTAATTGCTGGCGAAATGTTCGTACTGAGATTTTAAACGTTGTGGATTTGCTCTCCAAAACACCGGTGCGCTGTACTAGTATTATTATTATTGGTCATGAGCCGAAATCGAACTCGGGTCACCGGGTTGGTAGCGCAGCGTGCTAACCGCTACACTACCGCACACATACAGTACAGATACGTGATAACACACGTTTATGGACATATGCACAAATTACTGTATAACATAGGCCGCCATTCTCCGCTAAGTGATGGTGATGTCAGCACGGCGCTTCTGCCAGGCCATAGGTTGCACTCTAGAGGCCATGTGGCGTGTTAAAGGCTGGCTTGGCAGGAGGTCACCTCTCCACCCACTGCTCAAAAAGCTATGTGCCCTTTGCACATATTTTCGTTGAGTATGAGGCAAAACATTTTTAAACCGATGGCAATGTCCTCATTTTCGCAAATGCTTTGGGACACACAGACAGCCTATCTTAAATGGGAACTGTACTGGACAAGGCACGGCCAGGGCAACGTTTGTTTGCATACATCTCGGTGTGTTTATTTGAGGCTGAGTCGACCCAGGGGAGGGCCCGTGCCCAGTTCTGATATCACTCACCACTGACGTTGGCCGGACGTTAGCCGTGGCTGAGAATCAAATGTGGGAAACCGAGTCAGTAGTTCGGTGTGCTGGCCATTGTGCTACTGCTCTCTATGGATGCGCGCACACAGACACGTGTTCGTATATCCCCTGGGCCACGCAGGAGCACAGGAAGTAATCTCTTCTTCATTGCACTGCTGTATTGTATTGTTGGTAGCAACGCTTTTCGAGTGCTGTACGTCTGTGTGGTGCGTGTGGGTGTACGGCAGTGCTGAGTGGTGGTTAGCACATTGAGCCGCAATCCTGGCCAACTTAGTTCAATTTCTGCTCATGGCGACCATCGCGGCGAGTGATATTTGAACCAAATTGTGACCTCCCCAAGGTCAACCCGACCTCAAATGAGTACATTGTAGGGTGTGGCTACATCACTCGGGTAATGGAGAGATAAAGATGAGCGGGTCTTTTGCTGGAGTCACGACCAAATCACGCTCTGTGCCAACCCTGATAGGTGCTTGTTTCAAAGAGGACAGAAGAGATGAGAGGAGAGCAAGTGGGTTCGTGAAACCCATCTGTGCGCACCTTTGAGTGGGTCGTTCTGGTTTCCTTCGGCATGAAGCAACGCACTCTTTAAAAAAAAAAAGAGCTGGTTACGGCTCGACTGGATTTTTGTTGTTGTTGACAATCCGAGAGGTTTTCCTGTAAAAATAAACAGCAGAAGAGAGGTCAATTGCAGTGTTAAATGATGGGTATTCGAGGCAGGAGCAATGTTCATGCTGCTTATACGGGTCAAACACACAACACAGTTAATTTTTTTTTAATCTTCCACGCTTTAAATAAAGATTAATTCGGATTTTGGTAAACTACGAGAATGGTCAGAATATAACGTCGAAAAAATATCTTGTTGACGTAATCCGCAAAAGGAAGGAGGTTGGGATGAATGAGGCACACGCGCAGGATGGAGGAGGGCAGGTTGCCGAGCAAGACAGGCATTGGGACTGGTGGTGGTGGTGGTGATGATGTCATTAATAACAAAGTGACGACGTATTTGTGAAACGACATAAAAACGGGGAGACGTAAATCGGGGTAGTCTTTGGTTTTTTCGGTAAAGTCACGTAGAAATAAGACGTAATAAAATAACATAATACTCTACTAATACTATACGACGTTTCGATTGCAACACAAGCAATCTTCATCAGGTACAGAAGAGCTAAATTTAAGAGAGAGAGGAAGCACATAACCGCAGATATATATTATGGGTTTCCTCTCTTAAATTTAGCTCTTCTGTACCTGATGAAGATTGCTTGTGTTGCAATCGAAACGTCGTATAGTATTAGTATAGTATTATGTTATTTTATTACGTCTTATTTCTACGTGACTTTACCGAAAAAACCAAAGGGTATCTCCTGCAGTCACGAAAGCACCAAAATCTAGTTTGTAAATCGGGGTGTTTCCGTATTTGTACTCCCATTAGTTCCCAGGGCTGCACGCGCTTCTCTGTCTTCTCGTGGTTAACAGAGGGTGGCAGGTCCCGCTTTGGCTGTGCTTGGCGTGGAGTGTTTCTGTGCGGTGTTGGCCACCGGCCGTCAACTTGCGGATTGCTCGGAAGAACGAGTAACGTTGACATCCGTCGGCAGCATTGCAAAGACGCACGGTGGGACTGTGACGAGAGGTTCAAAGGATGCCTCGCTCGATGCTGGAGCGAAATAATTTTTTATTTCGCCTGCTAGAGCAGCGTCGCGCTGGCGAACGCGGCATTTGGCCTGGCGGAGAGCGAGCTGTTCGCCGTTCGCTTGCCGGGGCAAGGGCAGCCGTCAACGTCCACGTGGTTCTCGTTGGAGTTTACTTCAGGCGAATAACCTGTCGACGAGTCACCAAGACGTCTGGCCGGCGTGGAAGAATAGGTCAACGCGCCGTATAATAGAGTGTCCTCTCTCGAGCTTCCTCCAGGGGAGGTTCTTCCGCCAGCGAGTGGCGTGAGCAAGCAATTGCGGGGCTGCTCCTTTACATCTTGTTTTTTTAAACGTGTCACCGCTACTCAGGCCACCGTTCTTAGCTGACTTGATGAAGTGGAGCGTTGTGTTTGAGTCCCTACTATTTGTACAGGTGAAGCCAGTCCCTGAGGTGCAGCCTTATTGGCACCAGCCTTTACGAATGCAGGAAACTATCGAGACGGTAACGTAGACACGGGAGGGTTTTCTGGAACCGTTATATTTCGCGTCGGATTTCCAGCAAAACATATCCCAGCTTCCCCAGCGTCGTCTGACCTTTGCAGCAGCAAAATCATCAAAGCACACACAGTGCTGTCATATACGGTGCAGTGCCATGCATGGCTGATGCTGTCTTGGTGTAATCGATCGCACACTGCGGTGCAATTCAGTGGAAGTCGGTTTGATCTCCAGATGCGGCAGATGAAACATTGTGAACTTTTTTTTTTAAAGAATCTTCCCCCACCCCGCCTCCTGTCCGTTCCGCCTGTGGTTACACCACAGTTACAGAGTTAGTCGATCAGCAGGTTGTGTGTGGTGGGGTAAAAAGGTGGGCACAGGGACTCCTCTACTTACGAACGAGCTAGGTTCCAGAGGTCTGTGCGTAAGTCGATTTTGTTCCTAAGTCCAACTTTACCCCTGTCGATTCCAAACACGTTGATGCGGCATGTACACTAAACACGGATAATGGCTTTAAAAGTTGTACAATCTCCTGTAGATGTAGATGCCACTGGTTCTTCATGTTCTGCAGATGTAGATGCCACCAACGCCATTCATTGCTTAGCGGTTGAACATACGAGGAGTCGGGCAGAATAAATACGAAGTGGGGATGGGGCTCTCTGGTGCCCTCTCTAGTGGAGAGGCCCCTTCTGCCTTCCAGTGACGTGGGCAGGCAATTGCAGGTGCTGCACCTTTAACTTTACACTTCACAATGCCTTTATGACAGCCGTTTCAAGAGCAATGCAGTAATGGACAGCTCTTTTGCAACATCAACAACAACAACAAAAGGCGACTGTAATTCGCTGAAGAGAGAAACGATTTGGAATATCTCGGAAACAAAAATTGTGAACATCTGAGGGAAATTCGCCTCCATCAAAACAGGCGCCACGGGATCAGAACTTGAGCGAAGTTTACGGAAAAGGAAACTGGCCCTTCGTTCGATTTTCTTTTTGGCTCGCACTCGTGTGGAGCTCAGATATCCGGGAACAATGGTTTGCTTCTATCCTCGCTGGAGTCGAGGAATTCCACCCGTTAATCGCACATTGTTCAAACTGTTTTCTGCGGCCAGAGAACACGTGTTAGGTGGCAGCAGACTACCCCTCGACAACAGCGGCGACCCTCGTGGGAAACGTGACGTTATTATTTACGTGGCAATTAAATGCTGAGATCTTTTGATGGAAATAGGTGCCTTCATAATTGCTTGTTTTCATAACTTTATAGCGACGTTCAGTGCCAATAGGTGTGTTTGTCTTTGCGCGCGCGCGCGTGCGTGTGCACGCACAACACATGTTTTTGATCTCGTATATACGGAGCGGGCATGGCTACACACGGGGAGGGGGTTCTTAAAAGGGAATTCCTGTTGCTAATGATGATCTATAATGGAGATGGTAACGAAGAAAAATCACAGCAGCTAAATATAACCCACAGACGTGGTGCTTGCTACAAAGCGAATAATTTTGTTTGTGCAATGCATCGTGTATAACCATCGTCGAGCCACAGTGCCACTGCGGCCATGCAACACAAACTGTGGGCCGTATAGTGAACCGCTGTTGTCTGCGCCCCTAGAGTGGAGAAGAAACGGCAAAGCTACACGAACTCCTCTCCTGAAGCCCTCTCATCGTGCCTTGGGGAGAGCTCGACATTTGGCTCCTGAACATATGGCCGTGGAATAGAATCATCGGCCACGGTCAATCCACTTTGGGAGTAAGGCCTGCTCAAGCCACGTGGGCCACGTGACTAACATCTAAACTAAACTATTATATTTTTATTTGACCAGGTAAGGCCCACGGAGCTCTATAGCTCTTTTTCAGAAGCGAGCTGGCCGTAAAAGATAACTCAACCAAGTGGCTTATCACGTGGAAATTTATAGCAACCAAACACTCTAAATGCATGTTTCTAAACGTGGAGGGAAAAACCGGGGGACCCGGAAAATAATCCACGTCATCACGGGGAGAGAGAGAAAACGTGCAAACTCCAAATATACCACAGGCATCAGGGTCCGGATGGAACCCACGACCTCCTGTATACCAGGCGAGGTAGTTAACACCTCGCCACCACCGCGTCACTGTGTGTATGTGTGCGTGTAGGTTCATGGGAGGTGCGTGTGCAAGCATCGCACGCGGGGGCTCAACTGCGAGCAGTGCGAGGATTTCTACGCCGACTCGCCCTGGAGGCCGGCCGAGGGACGGCAGTCTCACGAGTGCAAAAGTACAAGACACCAATTTGTGCCAATTATTATAAGTAGGCGTAGTCACCCGCGTTCAAAGGATGACGGGTCTCGGTTGACCTTCGACCGGGATCTGAACTCAAGATCTCGACAAAATATCGGGGCTTCGCCGCTCGCTCTGCCGGCCGAGATAAGTCACGACGTCCGTTTGGTGGCAGCCGTACGAGTCGATCATATGGTTACATTTGCCGCAAGTGCCGCCGTGTGTTTATACCAACGGGCAAGCCGGTCTATTCGGGAGGATTCCTTACTCCCGGGCACATGAGCTTGTCCTCGCGTTCACATGTTTTCTAAGGCCCTATGATCATTGCGCTGGTATGCAGATTAATATAATAGTTTTTTTTAAGGAAAATACTTTGTTAGAATATATTTATTTGCCAGTATTGCTTGAAAAACTGTCCACATCTGGACGTCGGCATTGGCAGACTCTGCACTGGGTTTTCTAGCCATTGGTTGAGAACTATTTAAGTCTGTCTTGAAACCTCTTTAAATTGGCCTTTACCTCCTAGTTTCGGCCGTTTACCCTGGTTCTTTTTATTACCTGATTAACATAAACAACGCATTGGGGTTTACAGATGGAATGCGCCTTAAAAATGTAAATGATTATTTTTAGTGGGCTTTGTAGTATTCTTGACAACGCGCGAAAGTTGTCCTCGGATGGACGGCTCTAACAGACGTACGAACGTCGAGTAATGTTTCCCAGACATGGCAATAAGGAACCGTTCAGCTTCATAAAACAAAAAAATCTGCTCACTTTACGAGGCGGCATTCCCCACAGTGTGTCATTCATTCTAGTTTAAAAAAAAAACAAAAAGAAATCCCCCCAGCAAATTGCACGCGTAAACCCCCGGCACGAAAAATATGTTGCGCGCGTCCATGATTGCTGCGTTGCCATTTTCCTAACCGGGAGCACGCGGCATAACAAATGCCGTGTCTCGGGCTCAATGTGTTGGAGGCACGGGTACAAATCCCCCCGCACGGGTGGGATCGGTGGCGCACAGGGGGGGGGGGGGGGGTGGGGGGTGGGGAACCCCGTGTGCGGCGAGTGTACCACATCCGACCGTAAGCTGCGCATTAATCACGCGCAATCGATACGTCCTTCAGAGTTTCCAGGGCGCACCTGCAAAGGGCTGCGGCGCATTAGTCGGCCGTGGTCGGCGTGCCAGGTGAGGTGTGAAAGAATTAGTGTTCGCTTCAAGCTGCATAATTGCGTGCGGTGTATGGCCGCGTGGCAACGCACCTGGGGAGAATTTAATATTTTAATTGCAAGTTGGTTTTTCTTTTTTTTTCAGCGAGCAAAAAATTGCACCGTTGTAAAAATAAAAAAAATGTGCAGAGGACAAATGATATCCGTGCGCGATGGAGCACGTCTGCGATCCAAGGCAAGGGTTGGCGGATCATGCAGATGTGTGAAATTTCCGAACGCAATGGGCTGTGAGGTTTCCAGGAGATGGAAATATGGTCAACTGACCCACACGACCGATGCGGCATTGGGGAGGGCTTGATCCAGCAGAGCTTTTAGTGTTAGCCCCCCCCCCCCCCTCCTTATGTCTGGGGATTTTCCAGGTACTGTGCTTGTCTTCCGCAAGTCAAAAGCTAATGAAGGGAATTGGCCAAACATTTCAGTTAATGGAGCCACTAAAAGAGTCATGACGCCTGAGCGATACATTCCTGAATAAATAACGGGCTTTATTATTATTAAATATCAAATATCTTTGAGTAAAGCTAATATACCAAAAAATATTTGCGAGATTGAAACCATGAAGTAAGTGTGTTTGGTAGAGCCCATGAATTTGCAAGATACTTTGAAACATAATGTTTTTATTTCCAGAATATATTTATAAATGCTAGGTAATATATAAAAATAATTCTCACAATATGCATTATCTTGGCATTATATTATGTTTAGTACTCCAAGCACAGGAGGGTTGTGAAAATAGAATGGAAATTGCAGCCATCTCTTATTTTCCTTTGCAGCGACCAACGGGTTATCTACTAGCTAATTAACGTACATACATACATACATAAAAAAAATAAACCAATTACACGTGGCAAGAAAGCAGCCAGACGAGGTCCAAACCACAAAAGTTCAGTCAAACCACCTCGAGCCATTCAGCGGCCTCCGAGTCGTCAGCGTTCAGCTCCTTGCGACGCCGTGTGCAGCGCGCACTCCCGGCCGCGCGTCCCACCGCCGCGCGTCCCACCGCCGCGCGTCCCACCGCCGCGTGTCCCACCGCCGCGTGTCCCACCGCCGTGCGTACGTGCGTGTTCCGTGGCTCCTCCGCCGCTCAGAGTGCAACTGCAACAACCACTCGGACAAGTGCCACTTCGACGTGGCCGTGTACAAGGCGTCGGGCAACGTGAGCGGCGGGGTGTGCGAGGACTGCCGCCACAACACCATGGGGCGCAACTGCGAGCTCTGCAACACCTTCTTCTACCGCGACCCGCGCCGGGACGCCGGCGACGCCGACGCCTGCTTGCGTGAGCGACGTCGCCTCTCGCCGACTTTCCCCCCCCCCCCCCCATCTCCCTCCCTCGTACGTGGAATGAGGCGTGCGATAACGACGCGGGTCCGCACGGCTAACGCTGTCGGAGCGCGGAGCCGGCGCTGCTGAGATCCTGGGTTCGCACGCCGGTTGCAACCGCGCGCGGGCAAATCCGCTGCGTGGTGCTCGTCTTAATGACGAATAAGAATGTTCTTGAAAGTGGTCAGCCACTGCTTTTTGCTCATTGCTGAACTTTTTGTGTTTATTTTGTCGTCCTTCCCGCACACCTCCGATTAGCACAGTTGGCTGCGTATGGGGCGAAAGAAGTAAATACATACTTCACTGCCTTTGCGAGTAACATTGAACTGTCTTGTGAGGCAGGGTCCATTCCAGATGCCACATAAACAAAGATCCAATTCCGAAAGCTTTTTTCATTGGAGAAACACCATGGCTTTTCGTTTCGAAAAAGTGAATCACCACCATCCGCCGTACGTGCATTTAGCTGCTGTGTGAATGCAAGTTGTTTTGAATTGTACAAAAGTGCCGTATTTTGCCTAACATTGGGCACACAAAGCCTTTGACTGCCACGATAATCTGGTGGCTCAAAGCTCAAGCTAAGAGTATAGCACGCAAGATTTCGCAGCCGGCTCCAAATCCACGTACCGCCTTTTGAGTTGTGCCACGCGTTGAGCAATTTTATTCCGTCAAGCTTTTGCCACGCGCGACTGCGGGCGCCTGCAACTCCTTCGAGTCCCGCAGATGCCACGCAACGGTGCGCGGCAATAAGCGAAGGCTTGGGAGGAATAAATGCTGAACACGCAGCCTCACCCGGGAGACCGCACTCGAAAAACGTTTCATATATATAAAAATAAACCCATCCGGTATAAACACCTCACGCAGTCTTCTCCGCCTCTCTGCGCCGGCCCATCGCATCTTCCGGCAGAGTGCGACTGCGAGCCCGACGGGACGCTCAACGGGGGGCTCTGCGACGGCCACACGGACGCCGCGCTGGGCCTGCGTGCCGGCCAGTGCCGCTGCAAGCCCAACGCGGAGGGCCCGCGCTGCGACCGCTGCAAGGCGGGATTCTTCGGCCTCAGCGGCGACGACCCGCTCGGCTGCCGCCGTGAGTTTGACGCCTCCCCATGTGACCCCCGCCCTACTCCCTGGGATACACGTGGGCTCTGCACGTGGGCCCTTCCGTCATTTAACCTGCATTTAAAACTATTAAAAATATATATTTTTTAATTTTGCCATGTAAGGCTCACTGAGCTATATAGCTCCTTTTTTTCAGAAGATACCTGGCTACAAATGATAACTCAACGAAGTGGCTTATCGCGTGGATATTTATAGCAACCAAATACTCTAAACGCGTGATGTTGATTCTAAATGTGGTGGGTGCAACCACGGAGAGAGAGACACGCAAACTCTAGATATACAGGCATCGGGGTCGGGATAGAACCCACAACCTCCCGCATACCAAGCGAGGTAGTCAGCATCTCACCACCGTGGCGCCCGACCGAACGATTTATCAGCGCACGTACGTATGATGCCGTGATTGATAGGGCTGGAGTTGCGAGAGAGGGACACGGGAGTGGAGGTCATAGGCCAGAGCCGAGACTATTAATAATCATTTCAACTTGCAAGGCGGACGGGATCGGCTCGCTGTCAAAGAGAGAGAACGACTCGGGAGACACGAGGAACCATAGCCAAGCAGGAAGGCAGCAGTCAGGCAGTGAGCTCGCATCAAACATTGCCCAAGCTCTATGGTCCTATATATATAATGCACGTTTTGAGTCACATTAATGAGTGCTTTTATGACTATGTACAGGAATCGAGCGGTGGCCCCTTGTGTGGATGAGCTGCAGACGAAGGAATAATCACATTGGGCAGCTTAGGTTGACTGTTTTGGGGGGCTGTATCTGATGGGATTGGATACGACAGGTTCCAAATGTTGCCTTGGGTTAGACGGTGTTCTTTTTGCCCGCACTCTCGGCTCCAGCGTCTCAACACGGTGCTGTTTCGAATTGACACGTCTATGGTGCATTACATTTTAATGCACTACAGATGCTGTTTATCGTGCATTACAATGGGACATATGTTAGCGGTGAAACTACGTGTTAATAATGCATACGTCCTCATTGCTGTTAAAATTAAGGCAATTGGGTCAAACCTTCCCCCTTCCCTCTGCCCCGAGGAATCTTAGTTGGGGAGAGGGCAGATGAAGTCGATTGGTTTTCCTAGTCAGTGGTGAGTCAGGGGGGAGTCAGGGGTGAGTCAGGGGCGAGTCAGGGGTAAGTCAGTGGTGAGTCAGGGGTGAGTCAGGGACGAGTCAGGGGTGAGTCAGTGGTGAGTCAGGGGCGAGTCAGGGGCGAGTTAGGGGGGGATCAGTGGTGAGTCAGTGGTGAGTCAGTGATTAGTCAGGGGTGAGTCAGGGGTGAGCCGGGGGTGAGTCAGGGGTGAGTCAGTGGTGAGTCAGGGGCGAGTCAGGGGCGAGTCAGGGGTGAGTCAGGGGCGAGTCAGTGGCGAGTCAGTGGTGAGTCAGGGGTGAGTCAGTGGCGAGTCAGTGGCGAGTCAGGGATGAGTCAGTGGTGAGTCAGGGGTGAGTCAGGGGTGAGTCAGTGGCGAGTCAGGGGCGAGTCAGTGGTGAGTCAGGGGTGAGTCAGGGGTGAGTCAGGGGCGAGTCAGTGGCGAGTCAGGGGTGAGTCAGGGGTGAGTCAGGGGTGAGTCAGGGGGGAGTCAGTGGCGAGTCAGGGGTGAGTCAGGGGGGAGTCAGGGGTGAGTCAGGGGGAAGTCAGGGGTGAGTCAGGGGTGAGTCAGGGGTGAGTCAGGGGCGAGTCAGGGGTGAGTCAGTGGTGAGTCAGGGGCGAGTCAGGGGCGAGTCAGTAATGAATCAGGGGTGAGTCAGTGGCGAGTCAGGGGTGAGTCAGGGGTGAGTCAGTGATGAATCAGGGGTGAGTCAGGGGTGAGTCAGTGGTGAGTCAGTGGCGAGTCAGGGGCGAGTCAGTGGCGAGTCAGGGGTGAGTCAGTGGTGAGTCAGGGGTGAGTCAGGGGTGAGTCAGGGGCGAGTCAGTGGCGAGTCAGTGGTGAGTCAGGGGTGAGTCAGGGGTGAGTCAGGGGGGAGTCAGTGGCGAGTCAGGGGTGAGTCAGGGGGGAGTCAGGGGTGAGTCAGGGGGAAGTCAGGGGTGAGTCAGGGGTGAGTCAGGAGTGAGTCAGGGGCGAGTCAGGGGCGAGTCAGGGGCGAGTCAGGGGTGAGTCAATCCATTGTGGGGCTACATGGTGGGCGACAGAGGGCAGTGCACACATTCGCCAACCCGCACTGACCAGCGCGGTGAAGTACGGTCAACTGACCCACACGACCGATGCGGCGTTGGGAGTCAGTGGTGAGTCAGGGGTGAGTCAGGGGTGAGTCAGTGCTGAGTCAGGGGTGAGTCTGCGCTCTGGCTTGACGAAGGGTTCGCCTCGTGCACGAACAATGCTGATGTATTGTAATCACATTAATAATCATAACGATGCTTTGCCCCATGAAAGCCTCTGCGGGTCGTCCGTCTGTGTTTGGCGGCGTTTGTCGCAGCCACCGCGGCACGGCGAGTGGCCCCAAGTTCGCCCGGCCCACTCGCGAGGCCCGGCAGCCGGGCTTGAGTTGCAGCTCATTGTTAAATGATCGCCGATGCCTCGAAGCACGCTTGGCTTAGCGTCTGGCTTACTCCCAATTCCATCGCAGGTCACTCATTCGTGATAACGACTCGGCACCCGGCGGTACCCGGGATGGAAGTCAGCGGCGGCGCTTGCTGCTGCTGCTGCTGCTGCACCGTGGACATCGTAAACGTCACGCGTTGCCGCTCAGTGTGCTGTCACGCGCTGGCGTCTGCGCAGTCTCTCCGTTGTGTCCTGGAGCTTTGTCGAGCGATGCACAGACGTCTGCGCTCTGTCTAAACCCGTGTGCAAAGTTGCGTTTTAAGAGCGAACAACTGTAGATCCTTATCGTTGTTATTGTCACCTGCCACGGTCTATCCACTGCTCTCCGTCACGGTCCCACGAAGCAGCAGTTCCATCTCGCACGTGCGCGAGCGCGAGGTGCCACTCACGCTCCACCTCTGCGGTGGGCCTCCTCGTCGGAGCGTCTTCTCTCCTTCGGCCGCCGTTCTTTCGCCAGTCTCGTCCAATGGCCATCATCCTTTCTGGCCACGATGCGTCCTGCTCCAAGCCCACTTAATTTCAAAGGGGCAATGCTATGGCCGTGATTTGTATTAGTTCTCCGATTCATGCTTTCTCCTTTCCGCCGCTCCGTCTAATCCGCAGCAAGCTTCTCACCGTGTTTCTTTGCACACCTTTTTTTTCAGCTTCTGTTCTATTATCCTCACTCGCGTCCCTGCTTCTGATTCGTATGCCACAGCGTGTTTCGTGCACTTATTATATATAAAAACAAATTTTACTTTTGGGCACATTTTATATAATTGCAGGAAACTACGCGGCCACGACACCGGGCACATTTGACCTCATGATGAAAATACGGTTGAGCACCGACCTCTTGATATACAACGCTGCGTACCGGCGGTGAACCAGAGCCAGCCATCCCCCCCCGTCCATTCCACGGCCTCATCCTCAGGGATTAAAAAATAAATCATACAGGATGTATCTGGGGCACGGAGGGTGGGGGCGGAGTGCGGACTTTGGTTGCAGCGTTCAGGAAGGTGTGGGGGAGAAAGTGAGCACAAGGTATAGATTATAGTTCGCTTAAGTGCGCCTAATAGCTTGGGGTTTTTCTTTTTGGCCAAGCCGGCCACTGGAGTTGCTCGACTGACCGGTGGTAATCCTCGGTGAAACGCGCTGCCGCGGTAAATGAACAGCGCTGGGGAATTTTTCCCCCGAGGTTCGGTTTGATGCCACTCGCCGGCCGGGTTTTTTTTTGTTTTTGGTGAAATTGGACGCATTCACAATTCCTTCCTGTTCACAGCTCGCGACCGAGCCAAGACGGGGGTTAGCTCTGATCGAAAAAATTATCAAAGCCATTGCCGCTCGCACGCCTCTCCTGGGGCTCCAAAGTACATTTCTATACATTACAAAACAATAACAAACAGTTTCCCTGGAATAACAACGATCAGGGAAGGGGCAAGGGATGAGACTGTACGGGGAGTGGCTGGAAATGAACGTCCGGCTTCATGTGTCAGCAACTGCTCGCAGAGAGAGAGACAGCTCCCGGCTAAATGCGGCAGGAATTTAATTTGCTCTATTTTAAATCGTCTCTGCATGCCTCATGTCAGCGCAGCAACTTCTAAAAAAAACTATTCTTTCCCCCCGGCTCCTTTAAAAATGCGTTTTTACCCTTTGATGGCCCGATGAAAGTGCCGCATGATTATTACAATTTGGTGAAGTTGATAATCACGGTGAGCGGGCATCGGATTAAATTCCAGTGAGAGCAGCGATTCTCTCCTGTAAGGGCAGACCTGGCGGTAACCGATATGAAAAGTTCACAGTGCTGTCTCCTACAAATGGTCGCGTGGCTTAGCAGACCTGGGGCTGATAGGCCGAATTAGCTTGGTTATTTGGTCAGAAGTCATACATATTTTGCAATTTTGGCCCCCGTTAGAAAATGTCTCCAACGTGTCCAGAACATCCTCCTAGCCGGAGTCATTCGGACCCGGAAAAGTTCCCCAGACGACCATTCTATCGTGGACGCATTTAGATAATTATGCCGATATGTTTGCGGTATATTTTGATGCATATATTTTTTCTTTTTTTACAATCGATAAAAGTGCATAGCTCCAGTGGCTTCCTAATATCGGAAGGAGGAAGAACGTTTCAGACGGCTGCAGAAGTGCATCTGAAAGCGTGCGATACAGTGACCGTCTTTGTTCGATGGGCAGCTAAAAGCCGCTACGAGACTGTGGCCTTAAGGACCCTCTACTCATTTTCTGTAATACTGATTGATTTTTTAAATTGTTTCTGCTGAGCTTATGCATTACAACGGAACTCCCATGTGTGAAATAGCCGGGCAACTGGCCTAACGCTACCGGTCCGTGTAACAAATCAAAATAAACTTAACGTAAAATGAAAAAAGATACAATCGGCGACGTTTATGGCAATGACTCTTGTCCACTAAATGTCTCTGGACCTCTCTGTTGATGTGCTGTGGAGAAGAGGTCATTGCCTGAAACGTTGCCTTACAAATGTATCCTAGTCACTGAGAACATATCGAGTTGTTTTTGTTGTTCATGCTTTGTGCACCACTGCCGACGCAGCATCACAAAGGAAACTGGTAAATAAATAGCATGGCCCTGCCCTGAAATCGAGGCGTGGGTGTGTGTCGTAGGTGTGAGGGTTTCCACACCCACGGCAAGTAGCCGAACACTCACACTTAGTCGGACAACAAACGAGGCCCTGCCAACCAAACTCCACAACTTTATTCCTATTCACTTGAGAAACTGTCAAATGTGGAGTGAATTTCCCGGTTGAACCCCTGTCTGAAGACAACAGCCAAGTCGTTACCTTATTGCAGCACGGACTGCACAATGTGCGCTCGCAAAAAAAAACACGTCGAGGGCATTTCACTTATTGGCTTTGTCAGCTACAATCATGAAACGGAGCTGTGGCCTACAACAACCCCCCCCCAAAAAAAAAAAAACCAGGACAACACCTTCGTAAAGCCGGCGTTCTCGCGATGCACGGTCTCCTACTTCTGCGCCGAGCGCCAATTACGAGCTCGGTAGAAAAGGTCAGCGGGCATCGTCTGTCTGCTTGCAGTTATTGAGAAAGAGAAGCTTTGGCCTGCCTTTATTTACGTTTCCAGAAACTTCGGATCGCAAGGGCCCCACGGGATCCTTGAGCTCGCGGGGCAAATATCAAACGGGTTTGGCCGGCATACGGACGACGCATTATTAAAGGGGGCAATGTTGAAGAGGATCGGCTTTGTCTTGCCGTGTCACGTGACCTTGGCGAGAAATTGGCGGTGGCCGCGGGTGGCCGCAGCCCGTTACAAGCCGAAGACGGTGATCGGTTCTGTCGTTTGCGTCACCGCGCCGGCAATTTGGCCGCTGAAGCGGAATCAGAGGCTGCCACATCTGGGATTGGAGTTGTGCTGAATTACATCAAATGCAATATTGCAATAAGACGCAAACAATGCAATAGCATACGATGGTGTCCGTGTAGAGTTCAGAAAGCTGTGGAGCGAGACCCATGTGGTACATAAACACAGGTCCCCCATGCATTCCCGCGTGCACACAGCCGCACATTTGTCGCGATGATCCATCAGGAAATGCATTATTTATAAACTCACAGAATCCGCTAATGATTTCCCTCTGTGCACCCCCCCCTACTCCCTCATTAAAAATGCTAATTAAAAACACATGACGAAATGAAAACCTCAAAGTGATGGGCCGTGCAGGTTAAACTCTTCAACTATTTGACACTCAGGATATTTTCACCCACCAAATGTTAAGTTTCTTTTGAAGTCCAGCGCATTGACGTTTGGAATTAACAAATCTGTTCAGTGCGTGGGGGTGGAGGGCGCTGTGCCGTGAACCCGATGACCTGAGTTCGATTCTCGACCACAGCTTCCATCAGTGGTTTGTGATATCTGAACTTAAATTTTGACTTAAAACTTTCGTGACTGCAGGAATTCATATTCTTTGTTTTTTTCGGTAAAGTTATGTGACTTTACCGAAAGAACCAAAGAATATGAATATCTGAACTTGTCCTAGCCCCCCCTCTCCGCCGCCCCGTGGTGAAGTATGGTCAAACCAACCCAATGCCCTAAGCGGCATGGGGAAGGAATTCCACGCAGCATTGGACTGACAACGCAAAATCTATAAGTTGGTATTGTAATTAAACATTTATTTAATGAATACAATTCTGTCAAGTCCAAGTGTGTCTCCCTGTTGAAACGTCAAATAAGGGTGATGCTCATCTCTGCTGGCAGCCTTCACCACGCTGGCAGTGTGGGTCGGTGAAGGTCAGTAGCATAGACGCGGAAGCGTAGAAAGCGCAGCACAACGATTGATTTGTCTGCACTGTCCTCTGCTGCCCGCTACATAGCCACGCAAGCCCTATGGCAAGGCTGCGTGGTGCTCGCCCATTCAAACACTATCCAGGCTCCAATCCTGCTTGGCTCCTGAGACCTGACGAGACCGAGCGCATTCTGCTTGATTTGGTCACAGGCTGCACACGACAAATGACGGCACGTTTTTTTTCTGTCTCGGCAAATCGGGCACGATAAGAGTAAGCGACTATGCAGTATTAATGATAAGATGATTTCAATAACATTTTATCGATAGATTGTGTTTGCGTCATTCTGCGGGCTGCATAGAATCCCAGTCCATGGCTGACTACGTGAGCATGCGAGCGCGTAAGTTCCATTCTTGCTCAGGTCCGACATCAGCGACGATGATCGAAACTAATCCTGGGCCTTCCTGGAGTCGACTCGGCCTCCAATGAGTACCCTGGTGTGGTGTGTGAACATCGCCGCTGGGGAGACGAAGGCGGGACCGTGGGTGGTGCTGGCCACTCACCTATCCACCCACCCCCTCGTGTGCCGTATCAGCCTTCATAGGCGCTGCTTAGGGCTGGACAATTAATCGATTTGAAATCGAAATCGCAATTTGAAACAATGCGATTAGTAAATCGCAGAGGCTGCGATTTTTTGCGATTTGAAAAGTCCTATTACTTTATTATTGGAATTGTTTTATTTTTTTATGATAACTTTATTTATTTAACTTAAGAATTGTTCTATGTTTGAGTCTTCTATTTCAATTAAAACATTTTAATAAATACATGTTGGAAGCAATTCATATATTTTAAGTTCTCATCCTTGCATTAGAATATATAGAGCAGTTCATATTTTTATGGTATCATGTTGTAATGCTCCACCACATATTTTAAATCTATTACACAGTGAAGCTTGACTTAAAACATTTTTAATCGCAAATCAAATGGCAATATCTGTCAGAAAAATCGCAATTCCCCCAAATCGTTCATCCCGAGTGCTGCTGCTCCGCTAGCGACGCTCGCCCCAAAAGGTCTGTGAAGGCTACGAGGACGATCTTTGTGTCTGCGTGCCCGCGTGTGACTGCACAGCGTGCCAGTGCAACCCCCTGGGGACGCTGCCGGGCCGGGCCGCGTGCGACGCCTCCACCGGGGACTGCTTCTGCAAGCGCCTCGTGACTGGGCGGCGCTGCGACCAGTGTCTGGTGAGGACGCGTGGGGACACCAAAAAATGGGGCCCCCCCTCCCCCCCCCCGCCAACGCGGTTGAAATGTTGGTGTAGCAAGTCTTTGGTTTGCTGCTGTTGTGCTGTATATATATATCTGGGATGGGCCGAAACGTCGGACGTCGCGCCGAACGACACGCGGTACAACACGGAAGCACGTCGGAGTGTCTTCGGCTGGTTCTTTTATCGTAGAAAAATACGCGCTTCTTTTGACCTCTCATCCCAATTTTTTTCTTCCAAATTGTGATGTCGGTGTCGTGTCATAGAACGGCAGAGCTTTGCATCACCCCACGTTAGAGAACAATCTGCAGATGGAGATATCGCGTAACTACTTCTCAATTTCCTTTAAACAACCTCTTATCCACACCCGAGGGCAGGGTGCATTATCCCGCTGTGCGCTGCTGTAGGAGAGGCATATTTGTCACTTGACAACAAAAACGGATGTTTTTTTAGTTTTCAAGTTAAGTGAACAACCATATTTAATAGACGGTCATCGCTGATTTGTGCTGACACCATCACATCGGTGTATTTGAGGACCCAGTTTAATCACTTGTAGCCGCCCCTATTTGAACCCATGTTTTCAGCTGTGCTTGCTTCGTGCTTAGGCGCCCCCAAGTGAACCGGAATCAATCTCAGGAAAGTCTGAATTAGCACGGACCGTGGCTTCAATTTATACGTCGGTCGGAAAAACTGCGAAATTGCAAAAAAAAAATTGCCGTGCTTGCCACGAATGAAAAAAAACTGCCCGAGAAGCAGTCTCTGCGAGCGTTTGATTCGGGCAACTTGTCTCACTCCTCCAGAGAGCCTCGAGGAAGCTGACAATTCGGCCAAATCATCAAAATAATCCAAGCTTCAAATTTTAGACGATAAACCATAATCGAAGCATTTCCAAAACGTTTCGACCTGAGGTTTTCCAGGTCGCTCGGAGGTCAGAGCCGGCACCGCTGAGAAGCCGAACTCGCGTCCAGGCCTGCTTCACACGTTCAGTGCCTTGATCATCTTTGCCTCGTCACCAATGACCGAACAAAAAAAATACTCTTCAAAAATGTATTTGGCACTTAAATTTGGCTAAATGTAGCGTGACTGCCATTACCAGGGGTCAGAAACCGAAAAAAACCAAAAATATCCATTTTTTTTAATTCAGTAAAAAAACTCTATATTTCAAGAGCCTCAATGCGTGCGAGTACGAAATGGTGGTCCTTAACAAACAACACCACGAAGGGGTCCCTCAATGAGCCCGCAGGTTGCCATGGTGAACTGGACTTCCATGGTGAACTGGACTTCCATGGTGAACTGGACTTCCATGGTGAACTGGACTTCCATGGTGAACTGGACTTCCATGGCAAACCGAACGTTCATGGTCAGCGGTCGGCAACGAAAATAACAAGAAGAGCCATTTTATGTTCAAATTTCATGAGCCTCACTGCAGTCCCTAAAGAGCCGCATGTGACTCCAGAGCCGCAGGTGACCGACCCCTGGCCATGCCGCATCTGTATTGGCAGGGCGTGTGGGACAGTGTCGCCCCCTAGTGTAGATAAGAGATCGTTTTTTAATTAGTTACGTGGTTTGATATTTTTTTGCTTTTTTCGCACGCTTGTTCCCGAACATGCATTCTCTCTCTCGTGACGCGACGCTGTTAGCGCGATCGCAATACTATTGGGGGGAAATTACAAAAACAAACTAATCTAATAGTTGAACGGAAATAAGGCTAAATTCTTTATTTATCTATAATGATGACTGTAAATCTATGAAAAACATTTTCAATGTCATAATACCCACTATTCTATATACCATGCTATATTCATATTATAAAATGTATATCTATTTATCCCAGAGTGAGCTCATTTCCTAATTAAAGTTTAAGCAGGTATACTTTTTGGTTCTTTCGGTAAAGTCACGTATCATATACCTACCACGTGACTGTACTGAAAGAACCAAAGAGTATGGATTCCTGCAGTCACAAAAGCTTCAAATCAAGATTTTAAGCAGGTACACCAAAACTTCACCGGCAGAGCTGCACATAATACGCGTCATGCACTCGAAGGGATTCAGTCTGAATTAACGTCACACCGAATCGCAAGGACGCTGCGCTTTACTGCGTGGCAATTTGCACAGCCACGTACTGTACCAACAATCCGGCGTGCGACCCTTAAATAAGAACTTTGAGCTCCAAGTTACGCGCTCCTAGTGTTGGCTGAAAGTGGGCCACCGCTACCCACCGTGTGGCCTCCCCCCGCCCTTGCGAGTCCCGTGCGGTGGGAGGGCCTGGAACTGCCAGACGGCTCTTTTTTAGCCGCCGCCGCCGATTTGTGCTGGCCACCCGCCCTGCTATTTTTACGCGCATGTCAACGGAGCGAATTCACGTGTCGGCTCACATCCCTCTCGAGCGACAATGGGGGAACGGGTTCGTGGTTCGTCTCCATCGGTGGTGCGCAGCGGCGGGGGGGGGGGAGTTGACCGAATCGAATCGCGCGGTGCACGTGGCCGGTCTTGTCGGAGCTCGGAAGCTCAAGCGTGCTGCGGGTGACCACCACGGCAATTGAAAGAGCCTCCACAAAACGAGATGTTCCATCGCGAGTGATTACTCGGGTGGAACGTGCCATTTAAACAAAATATATGCGCTGCAGGTTGTCGTCGGTGGCTGTGGGGTCGTGCTATTTTGTCGTTACGAGAGGGCATTGCAGCAACGTTTGTTGTTCTACTGTACCGTACTTATTTGCCTTCACTTCTACGTTCCTGGCATTCAGAAACCTGCATTGAAACAGCGCGGTGAAGTACGGTGAGCCGTTTTGTCAGTCCAGCAATTAATTGACATAAGAGCTGTATATGGAATTTAAGATATAAAGTATTTATAAAATGATCGGCTTTAAAAATATTTGAGAAATTGCTCAGCATTGCTGCAACTTGGTGTTTTAGCACAGCATTAAATATTAATCGGTCTTGGGGCCAAACCCAGCCAAATAGTCTAAACGCGTGATGTAGATTCTAAACGTGGAGGGAAAAATCGTAGCACCCAAAGAAAAATCCACGCGGCCAAGGGGAGTACATTCAATCTCCAAATATAGAGGCGTCAGGCGAGTTAGTTAACATCTCGCCACTGTAATGGAGAGGTCTTCATCCAGCATTTAATTGACAAAGTGATGTGAATTATTATGTTAATCGTATACAGCATGCATCAAGCACAGGGTGTTTCATTTATTGAATAAAACTAATCAGTGCTGTGAAAAAAAGGGTTTTTTATGCAAGAAATAAGTCAGCCTCCATGTGATGATATCAAATAATTGTGATGTCTAAAGATAATTTGTGTGATTTGGATTTAAACGTTCATGTAAGTGTGGGCTGGTGTAACTGCTCCAGCCCAGGACGAAGAGATAAAGTATTGTGTGAAGGTAAAGGTGATTTGCTGACCTGCAATAAGACCCACTCTCAATGTCTCCATTACTCATGTAGCTGCAGTGTAGGGTTGTTTTTAATACACTCTCAGATTCAATAGCATCTGAAATAGAATGGGATAATGGCTGGCAATTTTTTTTCCTTCATAAAATTTCTGATGGAGACTAAAGCCTATTTTTAAAGATATATATTTGTAAGGGAGATTTTTACTTGAATAAATAAATATTCTGATTCAGATGTTCGCTTTACTGAATTGCTATACATATATTAAGTTGATAACAATATCATTAACACCTCATTCGAGACCAAAATAGAGCAACACCACATGGACTCTCTCCCAAAACCCTCTCGTGGCTAGTAGACCCCGACATTGGCATTGGTTCCTAAATGTCAATCATTACCATATGCAAGAATAGAATAAGACATATACAAAAATTAAGTGCCATAACGTGCCATATTGAGATTGCTGTATCAGTGACACAGCATTAAGAGCCCAAAGACGCACCGGTGTACTGGACTTGTAATGATTTAACACGTTCTATTTTCGTGACAAACCTTACTAATTGGCTGTGTCGGGTGGTGGCGGGTTTCACGACACATTTATATTTATGCAATCTAACCCAAAAAAACCCTCCTATATTATCGATGATATTGGTCATAAAAAGCCTCCTACGTGTTAAACCAAAGACTTGAGTAGGACTCCTGGCCACGGCTGACAATCAGTGGCATGTGATGTTGGGCCTCCCTCTTCATCAACCCACACAGACAAACCATGGTGAAGTATGGTCAATGAGCATCATTACCCGACACGGCGTTATCCAGCGGTGGATCGACCAACGGTTGTAAAGTGAAGGAAGATTTTGGCAACAGCTCTCTGTGGAATTGTTATGATTTTTGTTCTTGTTTCCCCACCCCCCCCTGCCTTTTGCCACCCTTCTCCTCTCTCTGTTAAAACGTTCAGCCCGGACACTGGGGCCTGGGCCACAACCTGAGTGGGTGCAGGGTGTGCGAGTGCGATGACGGAGGAGCCATCGACAACAAGTGAGCGGTGGTCCATTGCAATCCATACGTATGCGCACACGCACACAAAGACCAGGATCCTCTGTCTCGCCTACACAGGCTGTTGGGGCAAGTGCTGTTAGCCAGCACCTATTAAAGTTTTAGGTACGATGCATTAGGAGGTGGTATGGCCAGCACCACATGCCTTTGCCTCCCCAGTCCTGATGTTTTACACACTCTACCAGCTGCTAATGTAGGCCACAATTGATGAGCAAAGACACAACATGCCAAGCGACCAGCTACAAACATACTCGTCTCTGTGTTTGCACACTCCATGTAAGGACATCAAGGATGAGGATTTTCATTCACAATGCGCTTAAATTCCACGTCATCTCAAAGTGTCTTACGTACCTCAGACATGAACCAGGCTACTCCTGAAGCAAGACGGCTCACCAACCTCGGCATGAACATACGAACATTACGGAAGAAGGCGATGCAAAAAACTAAGTAACAATCACAAAACACGGACTTCAACCCTGGGATAACAGAAAGAAGCTGCCAGTGTCGCCACAAATGGATTCTCTCGGCAGGACCTGACCCCGGTGACCTGTGACCCCCTGTGCCCCCCGCAGGTGTTCGATGAGCACCGGGCAGTGCCGCTGCCGAAGTCACATGACCGGACGCACGTGCGGGCAGGTGGAGCCCGGGTATTTTGTGGCGGCGCTCGATTACCACACGTACGAGGCGGAGGAGGCCACGCGCTCGCCGGTAAGCGTCGTTCACCTCCCTAATTAAATTACAAAATGACAAACGTAACAGAGAAGCGTTGCCGCTGCTGCCTTTTTGTTGTTGTCGCGATCGCGCCGGACGGTTCTCTTTGTCGGGCTGTACCCGCGAGTTGTCCGGCACTATCGGTGTCCCTCCGCCTCCCACCGAGCAACACGCGTTACACCCCGGGAACAAGTCACGGAGCTGTACGGGAGACGTTTCGCTTCGCCGTGGGTGGAAGGACCTCCACTAGAGGAGTGAGCATCTTGGAGAGCCTCCTCTCAGAGGGTATTTTGGTCTACTCTTCCACACTGGCCAGACGTCTCAGCAGCAGTGGGAGTAGCGGCCTTGTCCCCCACTTGCACGGGCCTTGCCGATCGACTCACCGCGGCGCGCCCTGTTTACATCACCCGGTGGACGGAGGAAGAGGGATTTAAACAAAACTTACCGCGTCGTTTTCAACAGACCGAATCGAACCGGCGACCTCTGCGATGCAAGTCCGGCTTTGCCCGATAACCACGTGCACGTACGCACGTGCACGTGGTGACATTAAATTAGAGTCACGCTACGTGGACGACGATGGCCGTGAGCTCGCTGCCCTTGCTGCACGCAGGGCGTGACGGCGGTGGTGCGGGAGCCTCCGCGCGACCGCGCCGCGGCGAGCTGGACGGGACGGGGGATGTGCCGTGTGCCCGAGGGCGGCCACCTCGACTTCAGCGTCTCCGTGCCCTTCTCCATGGAGTACGACCTGGTGCTGCGCTACGAACCGCAGGTGCGCGTTCCCACAGAGGCAAAAGGGCAAGATCATCACGCGGGGTTTTTTTTTTTTTGGGTTCGATCGCGTAAATTTATAAATGTGTCGTTAAACCCGCCACCACCCGACACAGCCAATTGGTAAAGTTTGTCACGTAAACAGAACGTGGCCAATTTGTCACTAGTACAGCAACACCGGTGTGTTGGAGAGCCAAGCCACAACGTTTACAATCTGAGTACGACGTTTCTCCAGTAATTACAACCAGCTTCATCAGGCGACAGACAGATTTGTGGAGAAGTCCACCTGTTTCATTCCTTAAATAGAGGCGTAGAAAGGACCAAGTTCAACCCCCCCCACCCCACCCCATGTAGCCTTGAGCAGACTGTCAGAGCAAGTGCTGTTAGCGAGCAGCACCTATGAAGGCCGGGCATAGCACACGATGGGGATGGGTGGCCAACACCACGCCCGGCCGCCTTTGTCTCCCTAGTGGTGATATCCATCGCACCAGGTACTCATTTTGAGGCTGAGTTGACCGAGGGGAGGCCCAGGACCGTTTCAGAGAATCGTCACTGGCGTTGGCCGTGAGCGGTAATTGAGCTTGGGCCTCTGCCGGGTTTGTAACGCAACGCGCCCATCACTACTCTACCACTCCCCACGCGTCTCCACACGCGGACACTCATTGGTGACTGCGGGCCCCAGAGCCAGGCCATCAATCACATCATCCAGCACTCTTTCTGTCTCCTAGTCATTCTTATTTCCTATGGCAGGAGGGAAAAGCGACAGCTTTGAAACGCGTTATATAGTTGAACGAGGAGGCAGCAGTAAATGCCGTGTGAACAGCAGCGACACCACCACGATGTGCAGGGATGGCACATTCCTCGGTAGACGTGTCCACCTCCTCGCGTAATTCCAAGTATTGGGATTGTCGCATGAATAAACAAGCAAACGCGTACGCAAACATTCTCGCCCCCCCCCCCGCACATCTACGTGAAAAAAGAAAAACGCGCTTTCGCTCACGAACGGGGGGGGGGGGGGGGGGGGGTGGGGGTCACCTTCCTCTCTCTCGACCCCTGCGCGGAGCAGCTGCCCGAGGAGTGGGAGGAGGTGGTGGTCACCGTGGAGCGACCGGGTGCCATTGTGGCGAGCAGCACCTGCGGCAACACCATCCCATCCGACGACCTCGTGTCCGTCACGCTGCCGCCCGGCTCCAGGCGAGTGGCTGACGAGGGATCGGGGGGGGGGGGGGGTCTCGTGACGTGCGGGCCGCTCGGCCTTGCACCCAGCGCGCGCCTTGACGAGCCATCGGCGTTGTAAGCCACCAAAATAAATAATCTACGGGACATTTTTTTGCCAGTATGAAAAAGATGGGGGAAAAAAATAGAGTCGGCTTATTTTTGGCAATAAAAATAGATGTTAAGATGTTCCCAGAGATATAACTGCTCAACCCGATATTTGCATTTCCATTGTACTGTTTGCCTTTTGGCGTTCTCTGGTCTCATTCCGGTGGGACAAGGCCCTAAAGAAGGCTCCCTTTGGTGTAGGCCAATCGGTTTTAAAGACAATGCATACATTACACTGTGTAACAAAAACAAATGTTTGTTCCTGGGTAGTGAGTATTATTTCCTAATTGCTTATGCCTCAGAAGTACAGAAAATGGTTATTATTCTCCACAAACTTTGCTTTTGCGACCAGAACATTGATATTTTGGAATTTAGCTATTTTCAATGAGGAAACGTGGTGTGCATTTGTGTCATTCCTTCACGTAAAGTCCTGGTCACAAAACAAAGTTTGTGGCCAATAATAGCCATTTTCTGTACTTTTTAGACATAAGCAATTAAAAAAATAACACTTACCACCCAGGGACAAGAATCGTGTTAAATAGTGTTATCAGAGCATGTTATGTTTGCATATTCTACCACGAGTATGTCTGCTTAATGCAGACTTGATGCCTCGCTATCTATTTGGCGCTTTATTGCCAGAAAAAGGAAAGCCCCTTGTTATTTTTTCATCTAAAATAATTAAGCAGACGGCATTACGTTTCCGTCGACTGCCTCCACGCAATAAACAAAAGTGTTTCTCGCACGTGCCACCAGCCCGCATTGGCAACTTCTGGGAGTGCATCGTTTCCAGCAGCCGTTGACCCAATGCGGAGCAAACCCCGGACCGGCTTTGACGCACGTGGCAGAGAACGATCGGCGCGGGCGGGCGGGCGGGCGGGCGGGCGCTGGCACGGTCCGCGCACTCCGCTGGGGGGCCTCCAGTTGAGGGGGCTCGCCCGCCGCACGTCGCCACCCCCGGCGCCGGGGCTCTCCTCTCACCCCTCCCGTCTCCCCCCCCTCCCCCCCCCGTATCCACGCCGCAACGCCGCAGGCACGTGGTGGTGCCGCAGCCCATGTGCCTGGAGAAGGGCCTCGGCTACGGCGTCCGCGTCGACTTCAAGAGCTACCGCTCCGGGGGCAGCGTCGCAAACGCGCATGTCCTCGTCGACTCGGTGAGGGCGGGCGGGCGGGCGGGCGGGCGGTCTGGCCGAGCGGTGGTCTCGTGTGTTGGCGCGTCTCATTTCGCCCGTAGTGAAATTGTTATTGGGTCTCGATTTAAAGCTTTTGTGACTGCAAGGATGCATCTTCTTTGGTTCTTTCGGCAAGGTCACGTAGATTGAGAATAAAATAACACAATAAAATTCTCACGACGTTTCGGCCACAACGCAAGCGGCCGTCTTCAGGTGAAAGGAACAGACCTGTCGTCCCGTCCCGACAGGTCTGTTCCTTTCACCTGAAAAAGGCCACTTGTGTTGTGGCCGAAACGTCGTGAGAATTTTATTGTGTTATTTTATTATTTTATTGTCATTCTACGTGACTTTACCGAAAGAACCAAAGAAGATGCTATTGGGTCGTTTCGTTTTTTTTTCCAATCGAATTGCAATCGTGCTATCGGCGTCACTTCACGAGGCTTGGAAACCCCTCGCAGGGCAGGACGTCACTGCATGCCAGAGAATGGCTCACAGAAGGAGATATCACAGAACTGCGTCTGAGGTCCCTTCCAAGGGGGGAGGGGGCAGCAATTGTCCTGGACAATGAAATGTTATTTTTTGATTCTCAGGGCTGGATCGTCGTTGTTGTTATTGAGGGTAAACAAGGATCGATCCATTGACTACAATTTATTTGTGCACGCAGGGGGCGTGCATAGATACGTGTCGATAACAAATGATTATTCACGATTTATGTAAGTGGCTTGCAAATGATACAAATGGACCTAACAAAACCGTACAAACGAGACATCGAAAATCGAGTATTAATGAGACAAAAAACAGAATCCCTTGGGAAATATAATCTCGAACATGATTTCAAATCGCTTGCAGAAGGGAGGTGGGGGTGGACAATTGCATGCCAAATTGGGAGCCCTGTTACTTTACTGACCCCATCTACGATGCCATTGTCACGGTGACGACGACGTTGGTGGCGATCGCGACAAGGCTACGTTGCTGCTGCTGCTGCTGCGTCCTCCTCTCTCTCGCCCCGCTCGCTCGCCCGCCCGCCCCTCGGCTCCCCCTGCCCCAGTTGGTGCTGCTGCCGCGCCACTCTTCGCTGGAGATGTTCATCGCGGGCGACCCGGCGTCGACGGCGCGCCGCACCAGCTTCGAGCGCTACCGCTGCGGCGACGCGGGCGGGGCCGTGAGCAAGGCGCCCGTGACGGACGTGTGCGCGGGGCTGCTGCGGAGCATGTCGGCGCTCGTCCACAACGGCTCGCTCCGTACGTGCGGACACGGCACCGGCCCCCGCCGGCGATGCCACTGCGAGAGACGTTAGCGACTAGAGCTGGCGCGCGCGATTGTTTCAGCGTCCGATCGCTGTTGTGCCCATCGTCGGTTCGATTGCGCGGCTGATGACGGTGTGCCGCTGGGCCGGGAGGTGATGGGCACGCCGTGGCGAGATCATTGGCGCCGTCATCAGCCGTGTTGAGCTGGGGGAGTGGTGGCCTGTGCGTGGTCTTTACGCTGAGGGTGTGGATATGGGTGAACCCTCATATTCGGTGATGCCCCCCCCCCGCTCTCCCCGCAACTTTTTACTTTGTCATTAAATTGCTGATGGCAACAAAGAAAGTAATGAGGATCAAATGAGAGGATGATGAGAGGGAGGGAGTCCAGTCGCTGGGGCTGAACGGACCAACACAAAGACAACAACAACAACATTGTTGCGAGCAAACGGGATTGTTTCGTGACAAATCTCGGTGTTGAACTTCGTCCGTCCGTACAGACCGCCGTAGGACGGCAGGGAGTCAGTCGCACTGAGCGAGCGTCCTTCCTTTCTCCCCCCCTCTCTCCCCACAGCGTGCCAGTGCAACACGCAGGGCTCCAGTAGCACCGAGTGCAACCCCGTGGGCGGGCAGTGCCGCTGCAAACCCAACGTCGCCGGACGTCGGTGCGACCAGTGCAGCCCGGGGTCCTTCGGCTTCGGACCGTCAGGGTGCAGGGGTGAGGAGAGGCGTCCCCCTCTTCCCAGTACTCCCAACGCTCTCCCGCGGTGTCCCCGCCTCTCCTCCGCTCTCTCCGCGCTCTTCACTCTCATCGGCGGCCCGTTCCAGCCGCATTATGTGCACCCCGCCAGGCACAACTGTTGCGTCCTTCATGTTTCGTCGTGAACTGGAGTGCCCTCGCGGCCAGCGTGGGCCGCTTTGTGGTGGTTGTTGTCACCTTGTGAGTGGCGTGGCGCCCCCGCTGCTCCGTCTTCACAACTGCGTTTTATTTGTTTAATTGTAAAAAAAAAATGTTTTCAATCTGCGTCGATTCTTTTTCGTTGTTTGTTTCCTTCCGCTTATGATATGCTGCTTTGCTATGCACGGACATGATTTATTTTGACAGATGCTATATTATATTTTTTATTGTTTTATATATATTTTATTATTTTGTTGTTTCCCTTCAACGTGACTTTACCGAAAAAACTAAGAATATAAAAAAAATTTTAGATGCTATATTCTTTAAATTATAATTCTTCTTTCGGGCCATTCGTTCCGAGGCTCCGCTTACAACGCTTCTTCACAGAAACCCGGCGACAAAGCTCCACTTACGTGAACCCACGCGTGTGCACCCCCACCACCACCACCCCCCCCTCCCTTCGCTCCATCCCCCGCCCGCTCGCAGAGTGCCACTGCGACCAGCGCGGCTCCACCAGCGCGATCTGCGACGCCGTCTCGGGGCAGTGCGCCTGCCGGCCCGGGGCCTTCGGCCGCCAGTGCGACCGCTGCGAGGCGGGACACTGGGGCTTCCCGGAGTGCCGCGCCTGCCGCTGCCACGGACACTCGGACGAGTGCAACCCCCGCACGGGCGCGTGCCTCTCGTGCCGCGGCCACACGGCCGGCGATAGCTGCGACAGGTGAGCCACGCTCCGCCCGCGGAGCCTCGGTCTGCTTCGTGTGTTCGTCTCTCGTGTGTGTGTGTTGAACTTCTTTCGCGCCGTACGTAGCCAACCGTGCTAGTCGTAGATGTGAAAAAGCTGGTTCGTCTGAGATGTGTCGACGGTGCTCGGCTGGCGCGGCGCATGAGTCACTGTGGTTCCCGCGAGCGCTCAGGAGCTGGTCTTCAGCCCCCGGAATGGTGGGTGAATGTCATTGAGGATTTCGATGGTGGTATTGTGATTGTGTTCATGTTGTTATTGTGGTGGTGGTGTTCATAGCATTAATGGCGGTATTATAATGGTGGTGGTGGTGGTGTTGATGGTGATAGTGTTGCTCTTTATTTTGGCATTGTGGTGTTGATAGTATTATTGTGTTGATGTTAACATTACGGTTGTACTGGATGTCTTATTCTGCTGGTTATTGCGATAGTGTTGGTGGTGCTGATGGTGGCACTGTGGCGGTGGCGGTGACAGTGGTAATGTTATAGTTGTTGACGGTGTTGATGGTGACATTGTGGTTGCATTGAACGTCTTATTCTGGTGGTGGAATAGTGTTGCGCTGGTGCTGACGGTGGCGCCGTGGTTGGTGATGTTGCAGATGCGCCAGTGGCTACTACGGGAGCCCTGGCGCCGGGGAGCAGTGCCGCCCGTGCCAGTGCCCCGAGGGCCCAGGGACCGGACGCCACTTTGCCAGCGGCTGCAGCCACGACCCGCGCTCAAGGGCCGTGGCGTGCGCGTGTCTCCCCGGCTTCACCGGTACGGCTTTGGCACGCGGGTCCACGCACGTGCCGACTGCTCGTCCGTTCGCAAAGCCAGGCGCGTGACAACGCGAAATTGATTCCTCGATCGAAATGGATTCCTAAGGTTGCGATACATGTATTGAATGATTTTTTTTTTTTACGGTTTGTGTTGTGATTCAGTTTGACTTTCGCGACCAATATTATTCATAGTTAAAAATGTTTTGGTTAGGTCGCGTAAGTATAAATGTGTCGCGAAGCCACCACCACCCGACACAGCCAACCAGTAAAGTTTGTCACGTAAACAAAACGCGCCAATTAGTTACTACTTCAGCCCACCGGAATGTTGGAGAGCAAATCCAAAGCATTTACAACTTGAGTATGACGTTTCGCTGGGAAATTACATCCAACTTCATGGGGCGATTTTCAACGTGTTGCGATTGTATTCCTATCAACTTCAGTTTTCCAAAAAGCATTCCAACCTGCTGTCAGTCACCTGATCATGGCCTCATTGATCCCGGTCGACCTGCAATAACTACCGCTTAGGTGTACGGACTCTGATGAGTTTTTCATTGGTGTCCCTCAAACGGATATGCTTTCGTTTGTATGTCTGTCTTTTTTGATTTATTACAGTAAAACCTTGGATTGCGAGCATAATTCGTTCCGGAAACGTGCTCGTAATCCAAAGCACTCGTATATCAAAGCACTCGTATATCAGTTGTGATCACGTGACACTTGGCAGACAAAGCATATATGTACTCCTCGTATTGCAAGACCTCGCTCGTTTATCAAGTTAATATTTATTTAAAAAATTTGCTCGTCTTGCAAAACACTCGCAGACCAAGTTACTCGCAATCCAAGGTTTTACTCTATGTAGAAACACGTTATTCCGAGCATTAATATCCAATGGTCATTTCAATGACACTGTCATCAGAAAATCTGGGATTCGTAACACTTTACGAATAAGCACGTGTTGACGAGATTAAGGATACATTATTGCGTGTGAAAAGCTTGATTTGTGAACATCTATGGAAATGACAAATATACACCACGGGAAGTTAATTATGGTTACAGGATATATCCGTCATGGCAGATATGTGACATCATATTGCATAGCAAACAACTTTTTTTTACTGGTTGTGTCAAACCGTGCTGATTCCACTCAGTTATTTGTGTCAGTGAGATGAGATTGATGAGATTTCAGCAGGAAGGGCCCATTGAGCTGTTGGTCGTCTCTTATTATTTGACGGGCCTCCTGCGACGGTGCAGATGTTACACAGTACAGCGGTTGTTGTTGCCTCTGGAGCTAGCGGCCCGCACGCCCACTCTCCTCTCCTGGGTGGCCACCCCCCTCACCGCCCGAAGGCGCTCGCTGCGACCAATGCTCCCCGGGCCACTACGGGGACCTGCGCGTGGCGGGCGGTCGATGCCAGCCGTGCCAGTGCAACGGCAACATCGACCCCACGGACGCGGCGTCCTGCGACGGCCGCACGGGGCGCTGCCTTCGCTGCCTGCGCGACACGGAGGGATCCGCGTGCCAGAACTGTCGCCCCGGATACTACGGTGACGCCACCTCGCAGCGGCGGTGCCAGAGTAAGCGACGCGAACCTCTCCGCTCCCACGGACAACGAGCGCCTCGGTAGTGGAGGTGCTGAGCTGGCGTAGGTAGCATCGGTGTCGGGGACACTGAGCCAGCATCGCTGGAAGCTTGGGGTAGGATCGAGCTTTCAGTTGTTCATGATTAAATTGGGTTCTCAAGTGTAGCGAGTGGACGTCACACACACACAAATCTCACAATGTACATCTGTTCTTTCACTTAATATCGCAAAATTCTAGTTCTGAGAAAAAAAAATATGATTTGACTGCCATGCGGCTGTTAACTTTATCGCAGCGTTTAGTGAAACACAGTGCCCTTTGGGACGCATAATTTACAGACCAACAGACTAACAGAGTTAATGCATTAACACTTTCAAGCATAGTTGATATACGTAAAAAATGTTTTACGTATAAAAAATGTTTTACGTATAGTGAGGGAAAAAAGTATTTGATCCCCTGCTGATTTTGGACGTTTGCCTACTGACAAAGAAATGATCAGTCTATAATTTTAATGGTAGGTTTATTTGAACAGTTAGACACAGAATAATAACAAAAAAATCCAGAAAAAAGCATGTCAAAAATGTTATAAATTTATTTGCATTTTAATGAGAGAAATAAGTATTTGACCCCTCTGCAAAACATGACTTAGTACTTGGTGGCAAAACCCTTGGAGGCAATCACAGAGGTCAAACGTTTCTTGTAGTTGGCCACCAGGTTTGCACACATCTCAGGAGGGATTTTGTCCCACTCCTCTTTGCAGATCTTCTCCAAGTCATTAAGGTTTCGAGGCAGACGTTTGGCAACTCGAACCTTCAGCTCCCTACACAGATTTTCTATGGGATTAAGGTCTGGAGACTGGCTAGGCCACTCCAGGACCTTAATGTGCTTCTTCTTGAGCCACTCCTTTGTTGCCTTGGCCGTGTGCTTTGGGTCATTGTCATGCTGGAATACCCATCCACGACCCATTTTCAATGCCCTGGCTGTGGGAAGGAGGTTCTCACCCAAGATTTGACGGTACATGGCTCCGTCCATCGTCCCTTTGATGCGGTGAAGTTGTCCTGTCTCCTTTGCAGAAAAACACCCCCAAAGCATAATGTTTCCACCTCCATGTTTGACGTTGGGGATGGTGTTCTTGGGGTCATAGGCAGCATTCCTCCTCCTCCAAACACGGCGGGTTGAATTGATGCCAAAGAGCTCCATTTTGGTCTCATTTGACCACAACACTTTCACCCATTTGTCCTCTGAATCATTCAGATGTTCATTGGCAAACTTCAGACGGGCATGTATATGTGCTTTCTTGAGCAGGAGGACCTTGCGGGCGCTGCAGGATTGTTACCAATTGTTTTCTTGGTGACTATGATCCCAGCTGCCTTGAGATCATTGACAAGATCCTCCCGTGTAGTTCTGGGCTGATTCCTCACCGTTATCATGATCATTGCAACTCCACGAGGTGAGATCTTCCATGGAGCCCCAGGCCGAGGGAGATTGACAGTTCTTTTGTGTTTCTTCCATTTGCGAATAATCACACCAACTGTTGCCACCTTCTCACCAAGCTGCTTGGCAATGGTCTTGTAGCCCATTCCAGCCTTGTGTAGGTCTACAATCTTGTCCCTGACATCCTTGGAGAGCTCTTTGGTCTTGGCCATGGTGGAGAGTTTGGAATCTGATTGATTGATTGCTTCTGTGGACAGGTGTCTTTTATACAGGTAACAAGCTGAGATTAGGAGCACTCCCTTTAAGAGTGTGCTCCTGAAACACCCAGTCGTTACCTGTATAAAAGACACCTGGGAGCGAGAAATCTTTCTGATTGAGAGGGGGTCAAATACTTATTTCCCTCACTAAAATGCAAATCAATTTATAACATTTTTGACATGCGTTTTTCTGGATTTTTGTGTTATTCTATCTCTCACTATTCAAATAAACCTACCATTAAAATTATAGACTGATCATTCTTTGTCAGAGGGCAAACGTACAAAATCAGCAGGGGATCAAATACTTTTCTCTCGCACTGTATATATATATTTTTAAACTTTCAGCAATTTAGTTTTCTAACCAAAGTGGTTGTCTTCGGTGCCGGTGCGACGGGTCAGAGTGCACGTGCGTCACGGCTGGCACGGAGCGCTCCAGCTGCGGCCTGGCGGACGGGGCCTGCGCCTGTGATCCCCGCAGCGGGCAGTGCCGCTGCCTGCCCAACGTCCAGGGCCTGGCGTGCGACCGCTGCACCCCCAACCACTGGGGGCTGAGCCAGGGCACCGGGTGCCGCCCCTGCGGCTGTGACCCCGCGCACTCCGCTGGGCCATCTTGCAGCGAGGTTAGAGTGGGCGGACGGGCTGATCGGAATTTGCCACAGGTAATGTCGGAGGTGGGCCAGGGTTGTACAGGACAGGGAGCAGGTGGGATAGTTTTGGCCTCAGAAAGGGCTGAAGGGTACCTTAGAGAGGGCATCATCTGGTATTTTGTTCTGGGCCTAAACGTGTTGACCTCTGGGTGTTGTCCCATCGTGCACGTGGTGGCTTCTCCGGGAACTCCACATCTTACCCACGTGCAAAACACTCGTTAAGGGCAAGGGTCAAACTTTCCAAAGTAGGAACCGCCTGAAAAATTGTCTTGAGACTCAGTGGGTCTTCCCTGGATATGTGACTACGTTGCAGGGTGACTGCTAATATTATTACGCGTTGTATAAATCTCGTCGGCTCATGCTGTGTCTGTCTGTCGGTGTGTGCGCTGTGCAGTTCAACGGTCAGTGCCACTGCCTACCTGGGTTTGGCGGCCTGACCTGCAGCGAATGTCAGGAGAATCACTGGGGAGAGCCTCGCGTAAAATGCAGTGGTGAGCAAACGCGACACAGCCGTGAGGGGAATTTTCGCCGGTGTGAAAGGAATTTATAATCCTTTGGAATATGGGTTTGGCTATACGGTTAGAATGCTTAACTCACAATTTATGTACGGCTCAATTAGCCTATTGTCTCTTCAGGGTAGATAAAATGGTGTCAAAGAGTATGGTTGTCCATGTGAATGTAGAATTTTCACCACCAGTTCTGGAATGCCAGTAGAGGTGAGCACCGGCCCACTGTTTGTTTCGGTTCGGGAATAATTCACACCGCTAATGGTCAGTGCAATTGGTAGCGGACAGCATATTCGACAGCGATTAGTGCGTTTGGGAGCGGTTCCTGAGTCTGACTAAACTAAACCAGATAAGGCCCATTGAGCTGTATAGCTCTTTTTCAGAAGCGACCTGGCCACAAATGATAGCTCAACGAAGTGGCTTATCGCGTGGAAATTTAGAGCAGCCAAATACTGTAAACGCGCGACGTCGATTCTAAATGTGGGCGGAAAAACCGGAGGACCCGAAGAAAAATCCACGCGACCACTGGGAGAGAGAGAGAGAACAGGTGTCAGGGTCGGGATCAAACCCACGACCTCCTCTGCACCAGGCGAGGTAGTTAACATCTCGCCACCGTGACGTTTAGTCTTAGGTTCTAACCACGTGCCCCCCCCCCCCCCGCCCCCCCGCCCCCCGCCCCCCTCGCCCCGCACCTCCCCACCGCCTTGCCACGTGCTGCAGCGTGCGACTGCGAGTCGAGCGGCGTGCTCACGCAGCAGTGCCAGCGCGCCACAGGGCAGTGCGCGTGCCGCCCCGGCGTGGCGGGGCGGCGCTGCGACCGCTGCGCCCGTGGCTTCTCGGGCGCCTTCCCGGCGTGCGAGCCGTGCCACGAGCCCTGCTTCCCCGACTGGGAGGCGGCCATCTCCGAGCTGGGCCGGCGCGCCGGCGGCCTGAGCGAGCGGGCGACGAGGCTGCTGACGGGCGGCGCCGACGCGGGGCCATACGCACGGAGGATGGCCGAGGTGGAGGAGAACCTCGCGGGGGCGCGCGAGCTGCTGGCCGTTCGCAACGCGTCGGCCGCGGCCGTCGAGAGGCTCTCGGGGCTCATCGACGATGTTGGGTACGCGCAGCGAGCTCGGCGACGCTTTTTGGGAAATGTTTAAGACGTGTAGGTGGCAACAATACACACACATATATATATATGCATAGACGTATTTACTGGTCAAAGGGCTTTTTAGTGCTGATCAGTGTTCATTCATTCAGAATGTTTGTGTTGTTGATGTTAGTCTAGTCTACGACGACCTGTGGAATCGTAGCCCAGCCCTTAACCGTGGATTTCATTCAGTCATTGAACGCCGACCAAATTAACCCTGGAGGCCTCCCAACCCGCGCCGGGGCACCCGCAGGCGGCAGGTGGAGGCCATGACGGGCCGCCTGGCGCAGCTCGAGGCCGGCATTGGAGGCGCGGCGAAGCAGAACGGCGACGCCAACGTGCTGCTGTCGGAGCTCGATCGCGACGCGAGGGAGGCGAGCACGCGCGCCAGCGAGCTCGGATACCAGATCGACACCATCAAGCACTCCAACTTCCGAGGCATGGGCGCCGCTCTCCGCAAGACGCACTCGTTCGCTCGCTCGCTCGGATCGCGCCTGACGACAGTGGTTTAAATGCAGCTCATAGATAAGCATACATTACGTCCCATTTATTAATGAGCGTTTCTGCACGTAAAAAAAATGTAGTTTTTTTTATGTAACCCATTGGTCCCACGGCCTTCTGAGAGTGATTATATAATTACATATCATCAGCATTCAGTACTCTCTGGACTAGTATTCTAATTAAATGTCTCATCAACAGTTTAGACTTGCTTGAGTCAATGCTGGTGTATCGGGGGATCCTAGTTCGATGCAAAATAATATAGTGCGTAACCCACTGCATTCATTAACGTTGTTGTGGAGAATATAAATGACGCTATCGGTTCTTCCGAGTAAAATTCCACCGCCAATCGGCATCGTGACGAATCCCGTCCAGAGAGCGGCAGCCCAAGGTGGCCTAACCCCGCGCGGCCGCGTTGTCCTCCCGTTGCCTGCTCCCGCGCGCGCGCGTAGGCGCCTACGGCAGCGTCAAGGACTCGTACCAGCAGTCCCGCGAGGCGGAGCGGAAGGCGAGCGGCGCGGCCACCAACCCAGCGGGGCCCGTGGCTCGCTCCGAGGCCACTCGCCAGCGCGCCGAGAAGTTCATGGCCGCCAAGCGCGCCGAGCTCGAGCAGCGGCTGGACGCCAACGCCGACGCGCTGCAGGAGCTGGGCTGGGAGGCGCGCCAGCTGGAGCTCAACGAGCTAAACGAGAAGGTCGCTCGTCCCGTCCCCCTTGTTCACCGCTCAGACGGCCACGCTCGCTCCTCGCTGGCCGCTTGCCTGCTCTCTTTGTACCTGCCTGCCTATGTGTGTACGTTGAACTTCTTTTTTCAGCGTACATAGCCAACCGTGCTAATCGGAGGTGCGGGGAAGGACAACAAACTAAACTGCCTACACGTAACTACCTGCCTAATTGCCCACTGAATGACCGGCCTACCTACCCCTCTACCTATCTGCTTCTTGTGATTAAAAAAAATGTAAAGGATTTTTTCTTTTTTTACACGGCCCAAGGAGTGAACTATTCCAGTAGCACTCATTCAGCACTCGCAAATTCTGGGGCGGTACAGTCAAAGATGTAGGGGAGGGGGAATGGGGGGGCGGGGGGTGGTTGGGGAGAATAAATTAATGAATTGCCCCAGTGGTTTATTCCCATTTCCATCCCTTGTTTATAGCTGATACATTTTTTTTTAACGTACAATAAATAAATAACAGCGCACCATTTATAAAGTATTGGTAATCGATCTTAATTCAGCACAGTCATTCAGCCCAGGGCATTCGAGGCAAACTGACATTGAAACGGTTAGCGGTCAAGAGCGACGCTCGCTCTGTAGTTACTGCATTCTTCCTGGCGGGCCAATTTCACAGAATGAACGAGTCGGATAACGTGCAGCAGCGGTTGATTCTTTAAACACCCGTTTCACTCCCTCACTGCTGACGGGTAACGTTTGTTTCACACATAATGAGCGTATGAATGAATGAATGACTGCGTAGCGTTGGCTTAATCTTGCATTTCGAATGTCAGAACTTCCCTCCCTGCCTTGCTTGCTGGCGTGTGACACGTGCTTTAAACAGAATTAATGAGTAAATATATAATTCACTGAATGATGAACGAGCGGCCGAGACTCCCCACTCTCACATTCATAGTGGCCTCACTGTGCTGCCTGCCTGCTAGCAGTGCATCATTTTATTTAGACATAGCTGGCTTTGGGTGGCACCTTTGGCTCCATCGCCACAGCCATGTACACAGGAAGGTTATCGTCTGCGGCATCACCCCCATGACACATTTGGTTCTTGAGTTCGATGTGGAATTGCGGACGAACACCTCTAAATATATGTCCACAGTGATGTGACCTTGAAAACAAACAAATCAATGGATGTGTGTACTGTATGTTGAACTTCTTTCACACCGTACGTAGGCAACCGTGCTAATCAGAAGTGCGGGGGAAGTATAACAATCTAAGAACGTCATAGTTATGATGATGATGATTTGAAAAAAATATTGTAATTTAACCATCTGGCAAAAGGTGTCTCGGAAATCACAACCAACCAGTCGCTCCACTAAACATTTTTGTCTGCTATCCAGGACAAGTCATGCTCTCCATGTCAGGTCATGGCCCTCTCAAAAAACACACTTGCATTTTAGAATGTGTGGCGCTTTAGATTTGGTACGCTGTATTGCTCGTTCGTGTGATCCTGTTGGATCTCGAGTTAAATGCGAAAGGACAAACGGCATTAGCAGTGCGTTGAACACACGGCAGTTCGGCAGTCACTGACCCCTGACCCCTTGTTCACCACGTGTCTCCCCTCATCCCACCGTGTTCCCTCTTCCCCACTATCTCCGCTTGTCCCCGTGTCTCCCCTCATCCGCTTGTCTCCCCCTCGTCCTCACTTTCTCCGCTCATCCCGGTGATTCCCTTCATCCCCGCTGGGCCAGGTGTGCGGAGTGACGAGGGACGTGCCGTGTGCGGAGAGCGCGTGCGGCGGCGTCGGCTGCAGGGACGAGGACGGCCGCCCGCACTGCGGGGGCATGAACTGCGGCGGCGTCGCCACCGTGGCCTCCAACGCCCTGGAGCGGTCCACCATCGCCGACCGTGAGATCCAGAAGGCCCTGGGGGACCTCGACAAGCTGCACCAGCAGGTGCGGGTGTGCGGACGCGTGCTCCCTGCTAGAGGTGGCCGGGGTGGCTCGGAGGTCTGAGCGCTGAGCTGCCACCGCTGAGATTCAATGGCGGTGTATCTGCGATTCGCCGACTCTGAGACGAAGTCTGGGCCTGTTCGGGCGTGTAACTCCAACGGCTTGCCTTGTCGAAAATATATTCGGAACAAAACCTGACAGACAATACATGGGTTCACCCAAGGGCATGCCCATGACCAACCAAATGCTCGCGGATCATCACTCTCGATGCAGACAAACAGCCAGGCCTCCTGGCTAGGCAGGGCGATGGATCGGGACACACCTGGAAGAACATTCGAAATGAACTATTGATAGCTACGCGTACTAATCAGCTGTTGATAAGAACGTAGGAGAGGGTCATCCGAAACCAGAGGGATATTTGGATGTAGTTACTCCCTTCTGGAGTAACTATGCTGACAATTATCCTCGTGATAGACTCGGCGAGGATTTCCTGGATATTCAAAGGACCTTAATGGCGGAAACAATTGTGCTCCTGTATGTTTTTTGCAGGTCATGGATGTGAAGAGCAAGGCAGGAAAGGCCAAGGAGGAGGCTCAGGGCACCCTGCAGAGAGCCAACGGCACCCGCGCGCAGGTGGAGGGCGCGGTGCAGGGCCTGCGGGAGCTCATCAAGCAGATCAAGGAGTTCCTCACGGGTAACGCGGCTTGGTCGAGGCCCAGGTCCCTGTGGGAAGCGCTGAACCTCCATAGTTGGGGTTGCATGGACGCGATCGTCCTGTGGCTTATCTTTACGGTAGCCTTCTCGCGGCCCATCCTCTTACTGTACGTGTTTTCGCGTTACCGTAACCGATACGAATACCGTCGTCTAGGCCAAACGGATGTTGTTTTACTTGAATCCAGATACGATCGGTAGAGTTTAAGTTGATACGATCGGTAGAGTTTAAGTTGACGGAGCTGTATCCGACAGGTTTGCACACTAGGGGGCCCCGGCTGACGGGGTAGCGGATATGAAAAACTTTGCACAATCATCTCCAACACGGTGGCCTTGAAAGGAAGAATAAATAACAGTGACATTTCGGGCAATGGCCTCTCATTGATATTGCAATGAAAATTACGTTCGTATCACAATACATATTGCCATTGCCTGAAACGATGCCTATTATATTTTGTTCTTGTACAGCCTCGGCGTTATTGTGGAATTATTTGTTAATTGTGCTCGTGCCCGACTGCCAATGCAGCGGCAACATCACGAATTCATTTGTTACATTTGAAAGAATTGGAGTTCGGTGCAATGCAACACGAAAAGAGTTGGATTTATGTAGCGTCCAATTCGCAACGTTTTATAGATGGTGCAAACGAGGCTGAAGGAAATATGTAACGCTATGTACTTCACGAATGACCATAAAACTGTCAACTCATTGCATACCGGCTCAGCGTTCGCTCCGTTAATTCCTTGGCGATGCAGCCTCCCGGTTTAATGACGCCCATTCCCGTGAGAGCAAGTTTCATACTGCCAGTGCCCCTATTTTACAGCCACTCAGTCACCCACCGCGAGACAGCAACGCGCCAGATACGACGAGTTGCTGCCGGCGCATTGCCTCAAATGAGTACCTGGTGCGGTGTGTAAACTTCGCCACTGGAGAGACAAAGGCGGTCAGGCGTGGTGTTGGCCACCCACCGACTCGTGTGCCGTGGCGGCCTTCATAGGTGCTCGCTAACCGAACTTGCCCCAACAGTCTGTCAAGGCTACACGGGGGGATCTTTGTCTTTGTGCGTCCGACAGAGGAGGGCGCGAGCCCCGACAGCATCGAGCTGGTGGCGGAGCGGGTGCTGCGCCTCGGCGTGCCGGCATCGCCGCAGCAGATCGGCCGCCTCGCCGACGAGATCAAGGAGCGCGTGAGCAGCCTGGCCAACGTCGACGCCATCCTGGCCCGCACGGCCGGCAGCATCAATGAGGCCGAGCGCCTCCTACAGGACGCCAAGAGGGCCAAGTACGCGGGCGCGACCGCCGGTTATTGTCGTCAACGCCGCCGGGCGCTAGAACTAGAGCGCCGGCAACGCCACCGAGGTCGTCATCGCCACTGATGCTACCGCCATCATCACCAGCAGCACTGTCACTGCCACTGCTGCCACCGTCACCACCATCAACGCCACCGTTGTGGCCAAAAATGGTGTCACCACCGTCGCCATTACCACCAACATTGCTACTGTTGCTGCTACCACTTTTACTACCACTGTCACCATCATTACCACCATCACCACCGCTATCAACACCACTACCTCTGCCACCACAGTCTCCTTTTGGGGAGTTGATCATTTTTCCTGCCTGTAGCCCAGAGGAAAAGGTGGAAATTTCACGTAACTATGATGGGGGATGAGTCATTCAGAAGACAACAATTCCTGCATGTCTATAAAGTAGTTTGGATTTTATCAACCCGGGAGACACGAAGGGTTGGAGAGCCTGCAGCCTTACAAGTAGCACATACCACGTGATGATGATGATAATAATAAGGAAAACCCTTGCATTTTAGGCCAAGCTTGAACGTTTACGCCTCTCAGACTTCTCGTGTCTACGGAAGTGAGCATCATTTCATAGAACAGACATCTTTAGATAATTTCGAAACGATTCTTAAATTAGCCCGATGCCCCGAGCCTCTCCGGCCTGTGGGTCTGCAGCTGCATTTGCACTGCCTGCACGCTTGATCGCCAGACCAACTGCACTACGAGCGCGAGCCGCACGGGGGTCGTTCTGCTCTGTCGCAGGGCACGTGCTGAAAACGCCAAGAGCGCCGCAGAGACGGTGCGCAAGGCGCTGGCGGGGGCCAGGGAGGCGCAGGCCGGGGCGGAGGTCGCCATCCAGCAGGCCCGGTCCGACCTGCACGACACGCAGGACACGCTGGCCTCGGTAGGTGCCGATGTTCCCCGTGGGGTTTTTTTTCCTCGTCCGTCGTCACGGCGCGGCCGCTGAACGTTCACGTCCCGGGGGACCTGTCTGGGTCTCCAGCTGCTTTCCGAGATGTGACCAGCCGTGGAGGGGAAGGGTAAGGAACCCTCCGGAGAGGCCGTCTCAAGCTGCCTCTGGTTAGAGACCTTCCTGGCCAGCACTGGCGTGAGAGGGACATTTCAGGGCTCCACGAAATTTCAGGGGCAACCACGGTGGCCAGATGTGAACTGCCTCCTCGCCTGGTATACAGGATGTCGTGGGTTCGACCCCGACGCCTGTATATTTGGAGTTTTTTTCCCTCCACGTTTAGAAACATGCATTTAGAGTATTTGGCTGCTGTAAATTTCCACGTGATAAGTCATTTCGTTGAGCTATCATTTGTGGCCAGGTCGTTTCTGAAAAAGAGCTTATATAGTTTAGTTTATAGATCAGTCGTTGAAATGAGTGTGCCACAGTACATTGGGAGGTTGCGTGCGATGGAGTAAAGTGTCGGTACTCCCTCCTCTTCCTCAGTGTATGGCCAAATAGCCTCAAGAGGAGCTCTCTAGGGCTTCCTTGTACAATAGACAATTCCACCAGCAACTGTCTGGAGTAATACATTACAGGCCTGCAACTTGAACTCTCCAGGTCGCCGACCCGGAAGAACATTTTCGCACCCGGCGCATCACATCCAGGATACTTCTCTCTGGCCGTGCTACCAATGCAGTACCGAATAGAACCAAAGAGTATAATGCAGCACATCTCGAGGCAGGGACCCCCTCCGCTTCCCCCCCTTCCCCCCCCCTTCCCCCTCGCCCCCCCCCTTCCCCCCCCCCACTTCCCCCCCCGCTTCCCCCTCGCTTCCCCCCCCCCCCGCTCCCCCCCCCCTCCGGCGGCAGCGGCCCCTTGCGCAGCACGAGGTGGACACTGCAACGGGCCGGCAGTTGGGCGTCAGTCTGCCGGCGAGGGGGGGCCGACGTTGCCAAGCGACTCCGCATTGAGGCACTCTGGCGAGTCATCCGTCAAATCTGGCAAACGCGTTCACTGCGGTTGCCGTGGCTTGCAAACGACCTCGCGAATTTTTCAGTGAGGTAATCAACCCTGCCCCCCCCCCCACCCTTCACCCCCATCGTCTTCGCGTAGCGGTTAGCGCTACGCTGCCTTTCGAACCCAGCGACACGGGTTCGATTCCTGCTCACGGCCAACGCCGGTGACGATGATCTTAACCGGTCCTGGGCCTCCCCTAGGTCGACTCAGCCGCAAATGAGTACCTGGCGCGATGCGTAATCATCGCCACCGGGGAGACAAACGCGGCTGGGCGTGGTGCTAACCCCCCCCCACCCCCCCACCTTCATGCGCCGTGCCGCACTTGCCCAAACAATCTGTTAAGCCTATTTGGGGGATCTTTGTCTTTGTTATGCCCCCCCCCCTCCGCAGACCGAGTCGGAGACGGCGGCCGCCGGGCAGCGACTCCAGGACGCGACGGCTCGCCTGCTGAGCCTCGAGCGCGACGTCGATGCCCTCAAGATGAAGACGGCGGCCAACAGCCTCGCGGCTGGCAAGGCCGACAAGGCGGCCGGCATGGCCAAGCAGCGTGCCGACGAGGCCAAGCAGGTCGGGGGCCCGTGGTGCTGCCCAGGCTGCCACGAGTTGGCGGGGTTTTTGTCTTTCGTCGAGATGCTTTGTGGGGGCGGAATAATAACCGTTCGAGTGAAATCCATTTCGGCTGGGTCTGTCCAGGGCTCTCTCATCTCGTGCCCAGACGTCTGGCCCGGTGACTGTGGTAGAAATTCTTCAGTAGCATCGCCGATGTCCCAAAGCAGAGTCATTGCCCTTTAACGGCCGTATTGGCGTCACGTTGTTTGTGTTTATGCCCGTGACCAAGTCACCGGGAATGACAAACCCACCTCGTCACGTCGCGGAAGCTAAGCAGCGCTGAGCCTGGACAGTGCCTTGATAGTGACTGGACAGTGCCTTGATAGTGACTGGACAGTGCCTTGATAGTGACTGGACAGTGCCTTGATAGTGCCTTGATAGTGACTGGACAGTGCCTTGATAGTGACTGGACAGTGACTGGACAGTGCCTTGATAGTGCCTTGATAGTGACTGGACAGTGCCTTGATAGTGACTGGACAGTGCCTTGATAGTGACTGGATAGTGCCTTGATAGTGACTGGACAGTGCCTTGATAGTGACTGGACAGTGCCTTGATAGTGACTGGACAGTGCCTTGATAGTGGCTGGACAGTGCCTTGATAGTGGCTGGACAGTGCCTTGATAGTGACTGGACAGTGCCCTGATAGTGACTGGACAGTGCCTTGATAGTGACTGGACAGTGCCTTGATAGTGACTGGACAGTGCCTTGATAGTGACTGGATATGGGGCCACGTGGTGTGCAGCACAGCAAAATCCATTGTTGTACTGTATTCTCTACGTCTATGTTCCCGGCATGTTCACAACCCGCACTGATCCGTGCGGGTTGAAACAAATATCTTGAAACAACCCAAACGGTTGACACTGCGTGTGGAGGCCTTCAAAAAACAGTGGATTGGCATAGGGCGGCTTGCACCACCATCGCATTATCACTTGGAAAAAAGTTACCGATTGGGAACCCAGTAATGATTAAACAGGTGTGGTGCGCAGAGGAAATGGCCTTCAGTCATCCATGCACGGGAGGGGGGGGGGGAGGTCCTGAACGTTACGCAAGAAGAATGCCTGCTCTCGACAGAAGGACAAAACTAACGTACACACGCGGTAGCAACGACGTCTGTTAATGATGCGGAGAGCACAACGTGAGCGGGGAATATTCACTCATCCGTTCCCCGATCTCCCCTCCGGGAGGTTATCATCGCGAACAAAGCGTGGCGATATACGTTTGCAATTACAATTCTAACGCGACATTGTGGTTACAAATACCGGTATGATTTTAGTGCTGGCTCGGCTTAACAATTCCTACACCTAGATCTAATGGATACTTATAACACAAAGCCCTTGGTCAGTCCAGTGCTGAGTGAAGGCGAAGGCCTCCCCATGCCATGTCGATCATGGGGGTTGTTGTTAGAGGACACCGTATATGTGCTGTAACCATTACGGAGGAACTATGATGTAAAGGTTGCAGTCAAAGCTAGCGAGCATGTAGACATGTAATAACTGGCTTTGTTCGTGTGTTTTTTTTTTAATTGCTTCATTTGGTATGAGGCTAGCGTTATTTTAATGCACTGCCCATTGTCAATCCACTGCTGGGTCACCGCCTCCGTGTTGGTGAGCGAAAGGAGGGCCCCGGGAACCAGTTCAGACATCGCTCACCCAAGTGATGTTAGAAGTGGCTTGGGATTTTACTTCAGGGTCACCGGGCGCACATCGAAGTGCGCTCACCACTTGGCCACCGCTCTCTTCCCCTCGATTTACTAAACCCGGCATGTGACACGGCTCAACGTGGTGCTGTCCGCACCGCCCTCTCGCGTGCCATGCTGGATACTTAGAAAGGTTGCGCTCATTACGCAACAAAGCGCTTGCCACATGTGAACTACAATAGCTGGCTGACCTCATGGAGGGGCATACACCATCACGCAAACTGCGGTCAATCCTCGCAGCGGCTTTTGGCTAACCGTCGCGCGCTTTCAGATGCGTTTCTTGCGGTCGTGTGGAATGCTCTTCCGTCTGATATTAGGAAGCCACTGGAGCTGTATACTTTTAAATAATCTATTGTTAACTCATTTATTTAGAACTGCTTTTTGTGTTTAGTTGGTTGTCCTCCCCCGCCCAGCACGGTTGGCTACGCCCGGTGCGAAAGAAGCTGGACGTACACCACACGTACATATCGTAGGCGCTGACGGCACTCGCCACGACGAGTTGACGCGCGCCTCCACTCCCCCGGCCGTCCTCCGCAGATGCACGACGGGGAGCTGCGGGACCGCTTCCGGGCGCTGCAGGATCTCTTCGGGAAGAAGGGGCGCGGGGCGGAGGAGGCGCGGCGTCGCGTCGAGCAGCTCCGGGAGCAGGCGCGGGCCGTGCTGGCCGGAGCGCAGGCCCGCTTGGCGCGCCTCGCCGGTAACCCCCCCCCCCCCCCCCCCGCCCCCCCCCCCCCCCCCCATTCGCGGTCGCGATCGTCGTCGTCGAACTGTCTCGCGGCGCAGAGCAGACGTGGAACGCGCGAGTCGTCATCGAATGCGCTCGGCGCTGTGAAATGCACCCCGCACGCTGTCGGACGCACTGACCAGTGGCCACCGTCCAATGTAGCAACAACGCCGCTCAAAACACACTGACCCAGTCGTTGTCGTCGTCATCATCAGCCATGATCTATCCACTGCTGGTTGATGGTCTCTTCAAATCATCGCCCTCTCTCATATTGCAAACACACCAATCCATCGAGCTCCCGCACACGGGGAGATTTAATCGCTCCATCTCTGCGGTGGACGTCCTCGCGGGCACACTCCCTCCCTTGGCTGCACCTCTCTGCAAACTTTGTGCACTTTTCAACTTTTGTTCCATTTTCTTTGCTAATTTCCGTACTTATTCGTATATCAACAAAGGTAATACACACTGATTTAAAACGTTGGCTCTTTTAGGCCCACAATTATTTTTACTTCAACGATAATTTTGCCTTTGTCCACAGTTGTATTCCAATTTTGCTGTCGGTGTCAGGCCACGAGACGGAATATCCATCCGTATCTCTCAGCGCAGCGCAGCCCTCCGTGTTTATAGAATGGTCCATTGAAGAACTCCTCCTGAGATGTGTTCGTGACCTCTGTCACAGTAGGGGGCAGCACTTTCCCACTTATCCCTGCTTGAGACGGTTAACGTTTGTCAATACCTTTGGAATGCAGAACAAAATGTAACGTTTTATTCGTGAAGCAATTGGATACCGGGCGGAGACCATCACCTCGCTGCAACTTGAGATCTCAGTTTCAATCAATCACAGTGCATTGCGCAGATTCGAGCACAGGATCTTGGGGGTTCATTGAGTGCAAACCCCAACGTTGTTTGTAGAATCGTCCGACCGAGAGTTCACGAAGGTAACTCGAAAGTGGTCACGGTGTTTGCTCTTATTAGGCAGTTTGCAAGCCACTGTGGTATCTGCAGAGCAGGCTTTTGTAATAAACCGAACCCTATGAGGCCACGTGTTTATGGGGTTTGATTTTGTCCCCCAGCTTGTAAACCGCTGAGGCGGTGAACTGGCAGGCCACACTTCCGTGCAGGCACGCTGAGGGCATTCGTCTCCTGTGAGTGCCTGCCCACTTTTTCTGTCGGTTAATTTGTCAATCAAACAGCTGATCACAAGGTCGAAACAGTCATGCGTTTCTAGGGCACCATACGTGTGCTGTGTAACGATTATGGAGCAACCATCACGTAAAGCATTCATTGTTGCCAAAGCTTTTAAAGTTTAGTTAGCGTAAATGTTTTATGTGAACAGTAGCCACTGGCTCTATTTGCGCTTGTTTTGTTAGTGACTTCGTTCAGCATGGGTTAGGCCCCAGTTATTTTTGTGTACTGCCTTTTGTCAATCCACTGCTGGATGAAGGCCTTCCCCACACAATGTTGGCCATGCGGAGGGTGGTTTGGTCATGCTTCACCAGATTGGTCCATATAGGTTGGTGAAGGTTGGTGCCCGAGTCGGTTAAGATATCACTTGCCAATGACGAAAGCTCTTGACTGGGAATTGAAATCAGGTCGTTGGGTTCATAGCACAGTGTGCTTGCTTAACCACTGCTCCACCAACTCCACTTCTCGACTAGCATAGATTACACAATTATCATCTTTGTAAGTAATGATTAATTGACCTGATTGAATCCGATGGGTTGATAATTATCAACTGTTGACTATTTAGACAAATGACATACATTACTGTTCAATGTAGGCGAATGTTTCAAACAAAAACTGATATAATTTAAAGGAGATGGTAGCAAGTGGGACAATAATGACTTGATGCTTGAATCCAAGTGCAATCTGGAATCGTGACACTTCGTCAAATCAATGTGAGTGGGGGGGGGGGTGAATCATTGCACAATTGATGTTTGAGGCTGGATTATACGCTCACCGTGCATTTCACATCTCATGCACCCTAAGTGGAAATATTTAGCCCCGAGGATTATAGTCCACGGGTTTTGATAGAGTCACGCTCGAGGAGCGATATCGTTGTTGCAACATGCGTGACAACAATAACAACAATAATGATGCAGCTTGTACCGCGCACAAATTTCGCAAACGGTCTTAAGCTTGAGCGTGACTGGGCCCACCGTTCAGCGTTGTCGTGATTTTTAGCAGGTGACGACGTTACTTTGGTGGTAACAACATAAAACATCCTCGTAAGCAATGGCTGAATAAGCGGTACGTGACAGAGGGCAGGTAGGTGCATGCGAAGGCAAGACTTTATGATTTAAGAGTCCAAGGGTCGCCAATAACGCAGAGGGTCACCTCTGATTCGCGGGGGAGGGGGAGAAGGAGACTGAAATTCTCACAACTAGCCTGCTCCACCGGTTCTCGTACACATGAGCAGAATTCCATTCTCAGTTGCCGCACCTCAATGATAGTTTGGCCACGTGTCGAAAATAAACTAAGAAATCACAATTAGAAAGGAATATGGAGATGACTTAACGGTGGAGGACAGAAGGAGTTTGTATGGATGCAGTGGAACGAGAAGTGAGGACAGTTTATTGACTGGAATTATAAAATCCATACATGGAGCAGCTGCCCCCATGTCATAATTCGACTTTTGGCTTAGAAGAAGTTGTTTTATTTCGTGAACCAGGTAACTGGACTTGGGCCTAGTTATCTTACCAACCTCACCATGCCGAGCCCGACATCAATTGGCTCAAATATCTCTTGGGCTGCCCCCAATACCAAGAGCGATGTCACAAAATCAACGCGGGTAAGGCGCGCCCGTCGGTGGGTTTCCTCACTTAATTTTGTGCACCTTTTTTTGAGAATGAAAACCGACAGAAAATGACGGTCAATAAGGGAGTTCGGCCAAGAACGTGTTATTTTTTTTGTTCCCCCACGAAAGGGAGGTAGGGGCTGAGGCGAACAGCTGCGGCAACATCATGAAGTGTGGAGACACGGATCCGTGCCCTCCTGCTGGTACTGGAATGTAAATGGGCCTTTGCTGGACCACCGAGCCTGCCTTCCAGTGATCATGGGAATGCAGCCCTTAGTCTGGGTAGGGGGATGAAGCAGAAGGGGCTAAGCCAGCATACCCTGGTGGGGGGGGGGGGTCATGAAATATGGGGAGACAGACTCCTTTGGTGCTCCTGGAATAAAAACAGGCCTTACCTGGGTTCGGTCCCGACACTGACACCTGCATATGTGGAGTTTGCATGTTCTCCCCGTTGTTGCGTGGATCTTTCTCCATTTCTCCGGGTCCCCCGGGTTTTCCCTCCACATTTAGAAACGTGCATTTGAAGTATTTGGCTGCTATACATTTCCACGTGATGATAAGCCACTTCGTTGAGATATCAGTTGTGGGCAGGTCGCTTCTGAAAAAAAACTATATAGCTCAGTGGGCCTTACCTGGCAAAAGAAACAAGCTTAGTTTTTAAGACGTCTAAGAGTAGCCGTGGTCTCTCGCCCCCATGTGTTTGCAGAGCTGGAAGTGGCCTACGATGGGAACGCGGTGGAGCTGGAGCGCAAGGCGCACAGGCTGCGCGGTCTCGAGGACAAGTTGCGCGGGATCGTCTATGCCATCAACAAGCAAATCAACGTGTACAACACCTGCCAGTAGCGGGGGCGGGGGAGGCCAGAGACCTCAGCCGTTGTGCGCGACTTTGGTCAGCTGAGCAGCCAACAGGCCCTCCCAGCTGTGCCGGGGCACAGGGGGATGAAGCTGAACGTGCCACTCCCTGGTCGGGCTCGTTGTATAGGCTACCTTTGCGTGCGTCGTTTCGGGTTCAGCTGTCCGTTGCAGCCATGGTACACTCGGACACTTTTTGGGCAATTGTCGCCGGCAGTCGTCACTGGAATTTAGTTTACTTTGAGAAATGATGGCGATTGGTTGATGAACCAGCGATTGGTTGATCAGCAATCGTTGGTCTGCAGGGCACACGACCTTTGTGAACTCTGTGGTGTTATCGAAAGTTGACATCCCAGTCGTCTAGTGGGAGGAGCAGCAATCGGTTTTGACCAGATTTGGGCAATTGATTTTTTTTTACAATTAAAAAAAAATCCAACAACCAGACAAATTCCATCAACAATCGCTCAATTATTTGCCAAGCCTATCATGACCTTTAGACACCACAGCCAAAAAGAGACGCAACCCCGACAGTAACTGACATACTTGGGCTCCTGCAATGGATAAACGCCCACAAAAGGCTAATTTGCGCAGAGGGCTTCTGTGAATGATAATAGACGTAACGTCAATTATCATTCACATAAGCGGGGTCTCGCCACCAACGTGTCACCCATTAAAAACCCTCATGAAAGCAAGTGCATCAATTATGGCGGGGGTTTTTTGTCCCTTTATTGGGAGACGTAAAGTTTTTACAGCGTGCCATGCGTCGATTATGAACGATGCCGCGCGGGGGAAGGGGGGGGGGGCTTGGGAATCAACGCTTGGCCGTGAAGGTGCGGTCAGAGAAAGCTCCAGATGCTTCTGCTGGGTTCTGATTGTGGTGGCGATCAGACCCCAATCGTTCATGAGCACGTAGATCCCCATTGAATCAGCCACTCATGAATGTTTTGATTTGCCATGCATTGTCTGACCCGTGGTTTGTTATAGACATTTTTTTGGAAAATGAAACACAAACTCTGGAGGTAAAATAATAAGATATATGTAACATTTTCCCAAAATAATGTTTTTTAATGAATTGCTTTTGTTGAACATTCTTTTGCATTCACCTGCAGCAGACACACTCCTTTTCAATGTGGCCTTTACCCGCTTCTCATACAAACTCACCTGTGTGTGCTTGTACACTCGTGCAAACACACACATGCTCACTGCCGGTAACTTCTTACAACTTCTTACCAAGTGTACTTTACACCGAGTGCTATGCATGTGTTTATTTTTTAACCGGAGGCAGATTGGTAGTACGCTAAACTACCGGACATGTAGCGATGCTTCGATTCGCCGATTAAAAATATATTATTACACCCCTGATGCACGCGTTGAATTGGGCGCCTAAAAGTGGATGACGTATGGTGTATGCAAACGATACGCTACACTTACCGTTTCGCGTAGAGACCGACAGCAAAAGAATAAAAGAAACAACACGACACGAGATGGCAAAAGTGGAGGTGACTTGCTCACGCCACTGATGGTGGAAGGCCCTCCGCTCGGAAATAGTTCTAGAGAGCTCCTCGAGAGAGGTTATTTTGGTCTACTTTTCCACGCCTCAGACGGAACAAATACGACTTTTTTTGTACTATTTGTGCCCTTGAATCGTGACAAATCATTGCGCCTCTGCGTGGTTGGAGAGGTCCATCGTAACATGCCCATATAGCATGGAGCGTGAACCCTTGTATCGCTATGATTACAATCGCAATGGCTTTCTTTTTACCTTTGAGACTGAATATCAGGACGTGGCATTCGCACGCATCCCCCCTCCCCCATGACCTACAATGCGTACAATGTGACCACCAATACGGCCAGACAACGGCCGCAGCACTGCTCGCCGGAGCTGTTGAGGTTAGCTGTTGCCTCGCGCTGTTCCAATGCCGTTTGACCACAAGCACGAGTATACCCACCCGGACTCTACTGCTGTAGTGATATGTGGGGGGGGGGGGGGGGGGGGGGGGGTAGGGACGGCAATGATGTAGGGCCTTGACCGCTGTGGGTGTGTCGTTGTCCAAATACCTCAAGCAAACATTTCTTTGAGCGGTCACTTAAAGGTGGCAGAAATGTTGATCGTGCCGACGATGGAACCTTTACGTACAGCGCGTGGCGAAGCGGCGCACGATGAGGAAGGCCTCGGGGTACGGAGTCGGTCGCCCGTAGCTGCGTAGATTTCATATCAGTTGCATACAGCAGAATTCCTCTTATCCCGAACAAAGTGGGTGACGAAATTCGCAGATCCCAAGTGCAGTTTACCCAATTACCACCGTGAAGCATTGGCAAACAGGGCCAAACCAAATAAAATAACACGAGAATTGAAACTGCCCAAGTGATTAAAACCATTAAAATACCGTACATTGCGGGAGTAACTGATGAACTAGCCAATGGCGGAGACAGTATTTTCAGCAATGAAAAATGATAAGAGTTGTTAGTAAGTAAGGACTTGTCCCTTGCTTTTTATTCGACCCGTGTGCGGCGATGGCACAGCCATCGATCGAGGGTCGAATTGGAACCGTGTTGTGTGATCGGCATCGCGCTCACTGAAGGTGAATGCCTTCAGGGAAGTCGTGTCCTGTATACGCAACTGCGCACAATTCTGAGTTACTTATAACCGCTTTGTCGTTACTTATTGCCAATTATGGACTCAGACTATTGTCCTATCATCTCATAGAGTCCCTGGCACATAATAATATGCTACACAGTGGCAGTGGGGGTCGCAAAATGCCGATGTATTACTAATAAACTCCAATGATCCGATCGAAATCCCGTATTTCGATCGGATCATTGGGGGGTCAACATGCCACCCCACCACCCCTACTGGCTCCGCCAGTGAACAGGACACCGCTAGCGTCCGCAGCTTGGCCTTTGCTCCTCTTGTAATGTACACACTTCCATTCTAAACTAACTTAACACTTTTTTTTATTTTACCAGGTAAGGCTCACCGAGCTATATAACTCTTTTTTTAGAAGCGATCTGGCCACAAATGATAGCTCAACGAAGTGGCTGTTCATCACGTGGAAATGTACAGCAGCCAAATACTCTCAACGCACGTTTCTAAATGTGGAGGGAATAACTTGAGGACCTGGAGAAAAATCCACGTGACCATGGCGAGAGAGACACGCAAACTCCAAATATACATTGAACCAACGACCCCCTGCATACCAGGCGAGGTCGTTACCATCTCACCACTGCGACGCCCATTTTGGGATGCTGCAGTTGATATCCTTTTACAGAACCATTAATTAAAGGTAGCCCTGCAGGTGGCTCTTGGTTGCGGTTGAGAATGATTACTCCAATGGTAATGCACTTGTAATTGTATAAGCAGCTGGCAGCTTCGGTCCAGCGGCATTATTAAATGGTTATTAAATTGTGCTGTCGGGTAGTACGATGGACAGATATGCACATGCCTCTACTTCATTTGGTCGCATAACTGAAATTGTCTTCACCTGTGACCATGGTGTTGTCAACATTTTTTTGGTTATTATTGAACCGTTTCAAGTCTCTCTGAAAAAAAATACAGAAACGTTTTACACCGCGGCATTCCCTAAGATCAACCCACCATGAATGCGCTCATCTAATCGAATCTCGGAAGCTGAGCTGGGTTAGTACGTGGATGATCACCGTGGCTTGCCAGGTGTTGTAGATGTTCACCCACGGTGGATGATCACCGTGGCTTGCCAGGTGTTGTAGGTGTTCGCCCACGGTGGATGATCACCGTGGCTTGCCAGGTGTTGTAGGTGTTCACCCACGGTGGATGATCACCGTGGCTTGCCAGGTGTAGGTGTTCACCCACGGTGGATGATCACCGTGGCTTGCCAGGTGTAGGTGTTCACCCACGGTGGATGACCACCGTGGCTTGCCAGGTGTTGTAGGTGCTCGCCCACGGTGGATGATCACCGTGGCTTGCCAGGTGTTGTAGATGTTCACCCACGGTGGATGACCACCGTGGCTTGCCAGGTGTTGTAGGTGCTCGCCCACGGTGGATGATCACCGTGGCTTGCCAGGTGTTGTAGATGTTCACCCACGGTGGATGATCACCGTGGCTTGCCAGGTGTTGTAGGTGCTCGCCCACGGTGGATGATCACCGTGGCTTGCCAGGTGTTGTAGATGTTCACCCATGGTGGATGACCACCGTGGCTTGCCAGGTGTTGTAGGTGCTCGCCCACGGTGGATGATCACCGTGGCTTGCCAGGTGTTGTAGATGTTCACCCACGGTGGATGATCACCGTGGCTTGCCAGGTGTTGTAGGTTTTCACCCACGGTGGATGATCACCGTGGCTTGCCAGGTGTTGTAGGTGTTCACCCACGGTGGATGCCATTCGTGGGCTTTCTCCAGTTTCCTCCGCATGAAGCCAAACATTAATAGAATTAACCAAACATCCCAATGCAAGACAGTATTGACAAAGAGATAGTAAGGCTTTCCTCTGTAAATAATTGACGTTATTAAGAACTATAATTACATGCTTACCTTTCTGACGGTGAACGCAATCAAAGTTAATCATACACCCATCCAACATAAAGAACAACAAAGCATAGGGCAACAAAATACTAAAAACCATAACGTAAAACGAGTTCATGACATTTCCATAAGCTTCAGCATCTGCATGTAAAAAAGAAAAAAAGATCGGCCTATGCTGGGTAACATTCTTTGAACAAACACCTCCCGAGATAAGGAAGCAGTTCGCCGAGTAAAGTATGAATTGATACATCTTCTTTGGTTCTTTCGGTAAAGTCACGTAGAATGATTATAAAATAATAAATTGATAAAATAAAATAACACAATAATATTCTCACGACGTTTCGGCCACAACACAAGCGGCCTTCATCAGGTGAAGGGGGCGAGACTGTCTGGTAGGACAGCGCTGGAGTTTTAAATCGAAATATGAATTGATAATCGTGAAGAAGCACTTAGGAGATTGTTGAGCACATGTGCCCGCACCAAATTGGCTCCAAGATGCGATCTCCTTCTGCAAAGACTTTAGAAATTGAGAAATAATTGATTTTATCGACGTAGTTTAATTGCTGTGCCACGAGAACTGAGCTGCAAGACTATGCAGACGGGGCGGGGGGTGACTAGTGGGTTAGTGCAAAAGCACTGTTGTCTGGCTTTAGTTTCCATGGGTACAAATCCAACTTCACTTGATGAGGATTTTCATTAACACGTTGAACAACAATTACACAGGGGCGAGGAATAGCATTCCTGTTGCAGATCAGCTCAAATACATACTTTAATGTATTGCGTCCAAATGGGATTTTTTTCCCTTTGCAAAGCAATATTTTATTAAACGTATAAACGCACAGCACACTCCAAGGGCACAACGTGAGAACATACATTCTGTGAAAGCATAGCCTCATAAGTTCAAGTTATTATCATCTTACAGAGGAGAGAGTTCAAAGATCACGCCACCTTGGCGCCCACGGTGGCGATAAGTTTACTGCCTTGCCTGGTATAAAGAGGGTCGTGGATTCGACACTGTCGCCTGTATGTTTGGAGTTTGGATGTTCTCCCCGTGGCCACGTGGATTTTTCTCCGGGTCCCCACCACGTTTATAAACACGCGTTTCGAGTATTTGGCTGCTATACATTTCGCCATGATCAGCCGCTTCGTTGAGCCATCATTCGTGACCAGGTCGCTTCTGAAAAAGAGCTATGGGGTATAGTTCAGTGGGTCTTACATGGTTAAATAAAAATAGTGAAGATTAATTTGTGTGACTAGATTGGTGGTGCAATACAGACTGTAATGTTATTTTATAATGCCCTGATTTTGTTTTAACGGGACATTAATGGATCACCCTATAGGCCTATACGTATATTATTGTTTAACACGTGGGCTTTCGCGACCAATATCATCCATAATACAGTGTTTTGGGTTAGATCGCGTAAATATATACATGTGTCGTTAAACTCTTTGCTTGGTTTAGATATGTGGATGACACATTGGTGGTCTGGCCACACGGCAAAGATACACTTAACGAATTTCTAAATCATCTCAACTCGCAAAACCCATCCATCCAGTTCACCATGGAAGTGGAAGCTGACAGAGCAATACCATTTCTAGATATTCTGCTCGGACGGGGTCCAAATAGTAAAATAACAAAGCGTTTACCGAAAGAAAACGCACACTTACGCATATCTGAATGCAGAGTCACACCATCACCCCGCAAAGAAATCCGCTCTCATCAAGACTCTCATTCATCGGGCTAAGAAAGTGTCAGATGGTGATAGTCTGAGATGTGAAATTAAACATGTTAAAGAAGCGCTGCAGTTGAACGGTTGTAATGATGCTCAAATCAACAGGGCATTGAATGCCAAACCATATAAAATAACACGAGCATTGAAACTGCCAAAGTAATTAAAACGATCAAAATACCGTACATTGCGGGAGTAACTGATAAACTAGCCAGATGTTTGGAAAAACAAAACATCCGAGTCAGATTTGACACGGTACATAAAATACAGAATTTAATATCTGGTACAAAAGATGTATTACTGAAGCTATCAACATAAGGTATGTACCGGATTAATTGTACTTGTGGAAAATGCTATGTTGGGCAAACAGGACGAATGATCTGCTCGAGACTAAAAGAACACAAAATAATTATAAAATACTCCCAAATGCAACTGTAAGCAGTAGCAGAACATGCGTACCAACAAGGACACTCAATTTATTTTGATAATGTTGAAGTTCTCTGCAAAATAAGTTACCACTGACCGAGACTAATTCGATAATCTATCGAAATTGAAAGAAATAAAAAATAATTGTAACCGTTCGGATAGCTACCGACTTAGTGCTGCGTGGAAGCGAATAATCAAATAATACATTGTTTAAATGCATGCCTATACAGGGCACCATACTTCAATAGGGACTACCGCTGGTACGGCTATTTTAGTACACACAATGGACAGGAAGTACAAGATTAATGGGTTCGCATAATGCCCATGCATAATGTACGTTGACTCATTAATCCGGCCCCCCTCCCCCCACTTTGCACAAGAAAAGCGCACAAGTGTTATCACATCTACGCCTCTATATAGGGAACCAAACAGGGTGGCTTCTCCACAAATCTGGCTATCGCCTGATGAAGCCAGTTGTAATTACTGGCGAAACGTCGTACTCAGTTTGCAAATGTTGTGGCTTGGCCCTCCAACACACCGGTGTGCTGTACTAGTGACGAATTGGCCACGTTCTGTTTACGTGACAAACCTTACTAATTGGCTGTGTCGGGTGGTGGCGGGTTGAAAGACACATTTATATATTTACGCAATCTAACCCCCCAAAAAAACCTGTATTATGGACGTATATTATAGCATGTACGACGCTGTGGAGAAACCGCGTTACGCTAGGTGGCAGCCTTCTCTTGTTTGATCAGCTGTTGCCGAGGCTGATGGGTCGTGACGCAGGAAGAGACATTTAATTCGAATTTCGCTACATCATGCATTGCGTGCCAAGTGCTGTCATGCATTAAAAGCACGGCAGGGCAAATTTAGCCTTGAGAGGACGTTCAGCGTCGGTTGCCAAGATGTTAATGCCTGGCAGGGAATACGCACTTTTAAAAAATCCTCTGCCATTAAAACAACGTCACGTGCTAGCCTATCTGCGTGCATTTGCGTCAAACCACTGACAGCGCGATTGACTCGCTGCCAGAGGTGAGAACATATTTGTTGTCTGGGACGCGGCATTGGTTTCCCTTTTGAATGCATACACTTTGACTACAGTCGAATAGCCAGGTGTATAACCGATTATAGTGAAATATGACCAATTTCTCAGGAAGGCCTCATCGAGTTCTCAAGGTTATAATCTTTCCAGGAGGGCCCTGTATTTGGATGTTTGGCCATTTACATTGGGGTAGTGGGCCGACACTGAAAACTTCACGCACGCAGATTCAAGAACAAATTGCTGCACTGGCATCGACTGACCGCCTCGTTACTAAAGCCATCCATTTAAATTGCGATTACGTTGTACGTCAATATGGCAACGTGATCTTATTAATTTTATCCATGCTGATGCCTGTACTTTTTTTTTACTATACCATCGACTACGAAGTCTGTCGCATGTGAATTGCCGGCCGCATGGATGGCAGGGGTACAATAATGCCTGGATCTGTGCCAGGGCAGACATTCATCTGTGTGAGTAGCAGTTTGCTTGCTCGCGTCAATCCCATAGTCAATCCCCTAGCAAGCCCACGTCTGTTTTTAATGCCCATCGTTGCAACTGTCCACCCGATCTCTGAGCATGGTTCGGAATTTGGATTCGTGACCAGCAGGGATTTCCAGATTGCTGTCGGTGTGGCACTACGGAGTGGTAAACATCGTGGGTGCTCTCAGGGAGTCTTAATTTTCCTGCTACATGACGCCAAACACGAATGAAATTGCCTAAAAATTCCAATATAGCAGGATTTTTATGAACAAAGAAAGGTCTCGAAACACGGCGTAATTATCGTAATAATCTCCAAAAACATAAAAGCAAACGCTTTAAACTACCGCGACTGAATATGTATCACGCTAATTCGGCTCAAGCCAACGCTGCCCCGTGTATCCACACGAGGGTTGTCTGGGGACGTGAGACGCGTTTGGGTTTCAATCTTTGCCCGTTCGTTCTTAGCCGACGAAAAACCTCCGTGCTTCCTGTTTGCATTCTGACCTTGAAGTGAAACGTTGCTGCACGGACAGCGATGAATGTGGACGAGCCCCCTTGCTTACTAGGCCGGCATTTATTGCGTCTTTCTTTAACAATCCTCTCCTCTACCTCCTCCTACCCTTTATGAGCGAAAATAAGACATTGCGTTGCCAACGCCACGTAATGAATGCCCTCCCTGTTGCAGTGTTTGTCACAATGTGTGCAGGTGGTCAGGGCTGCTTTGTGGCGGTAGTGCAGCGGTTAGCGCGCTGCGATATGTATGCGAAACTGTTTAATTTCTTTCGCACCGTACATAGACAACCGTGATCATCGGAGGTGCGGGGGAAGGACAACAAGAAGCTACTGTACACACAAAAAGCAGTTCTAAAGAAATGAATCTAGCGACCCGAGTTCGATTCCCGCTCACGACCAACACCATTGACGATTATCTGAACCGGTTCTGGGCCTCCCATAGGTCGACTTGAGTACCTGGTGCGGTGTGTAGTAAACATCGCCACTGGGGAGACAAAGGCGACCGGGCGTGTTGCTGGCCACCCACCCCCTCGTGTGCCGTGCCGGCCTTCATAGGTGCTCGCTGACAAGCACTTGCCCCAACAGTCTCTTAATGGCTACACGGGGGATCTTTGTCTTTGCGCAAGCGTTTTGCGGCACTGACCACCGTCACAGATGAAGGGGGAAAGACTCGGTTGCAATGCGTGGCACTGTATACGTGTGTATTTTAAGCACAGATCCATCAACGGGGACGTGAGTGTCCAGGCGTAGAGAGAGAGAGAGAGAGCTTGGGGGTCATAGGAATGCGGGACCTTCCTTGCGTGTTCAGCCACCGTTACTCGAACGAGGAAAGTGCCCCGCACCTCGCCGCACACAAAGTTGTCGCTGTGGACACTTGGCACGACGATGAAAAGCCAAGCGTTGCGAATATGCGCAGGCTACCGAGGCACGGTGAAGAAGGCGGCTGTGCCTGCGGTTAGTTTAT